GGGGGGGGGGGGGACCCCGATTCCCGACATCCACGGCCCCGTTTGAGTCGGGGTCCTCTTCTTGTCATGACTTATGCTGAACATGTAACTTGAACTATTTCGGTTCTTTTTCTAAGTATTGTGTTGATTACGGAATTTTTTCAGAATGATTATCGAAGGAAGGACATTTGTCGTCTCGGGCGGGTACGTATCAGTGATGACATCACATTCAAAGTCGAGTGGGTTCTTTTGACTGACAACTATATACACTATGTACTTTCAGTGCTTCTGACCTCGGCCGTGCCTGTGTTCGGGACATTGTCAAGTCGGGCGGTAATGCTGCTGTCCTTGACATGAACGAGGAAACCGGAGCTGCTCTGGCCAAGGAGCTTGGGTCATCCATCCGCTTCTTCCGGTGCGACGTGACGGACACTGAGAACATTGCGTCCGTCGTGAAGTCAACCCTGGAATGGATCAAGGAGACTGGGAAGCCTCTCGGTGGAATCATCCCCGCTGCCGGGGTTGAAAGTCCGGGTTTGGTAGGTGTTCCTGCCATGTCTCCGCGTTGGACTTGAACTAACACTCGCCAGATGCTTGACAAGTCCCTGAACCCACTTTCCTTGTCGTCCATTGACTTTGTCCTCTCCATCAACCTCCGCGGTGTCCTCGATCTCGTGCGCCAGTTCCTTCCTGCTCTCGCTTCTTCCCCGGCCTACGGTCCTGACGGCGAGCACGGTGTTATTATTATGGTTGCCAGCTCTGCCGCCTTTGATGGTCAGATGGGTCAGGTTTCTTATGCCGCCAGCAAGGGCGCTGTTGCGGCCATGACGCTGCCCATGGCTCGGGATCTATCCCGATTTGGAATCAGAGTCGTCACCATTGCGCCGAGCATGTTTGACTCGGCCATGACGGCTATGATGAGCGACAAGGTGAGGACGGGGTTGAAGAAGGCGATGGAGTTTCCTTCACGGGCGGGTCAGCCAGAAGAGTTTGCTTCTTTGGCCAGGCAGGCGATTGAGAATGTCATGTTGAACGGTGTAGTCATTCGGCTGGACGGCGCCACGAGGATGCCCAGCAAATTGTAACTTTCACCATCTACAAAGCCTCACTCAAGTGTTTCTTCAGTCTGCTTGATGGCATTGCTCCAAGTCTCTTTACAGCCATGCTTTGAGACAGACGTACCACCTGAAAGAATAACTTCAGCCAGTGCGCATCCACCTTGATGTGGATGTGAATGTCTTAACAAGGGAGTCCAGGAAGCCAAACCCGGGGTTGAGCCGGAGCCCACGGGATGGACAAGGGGTAAAGTGGGGGCCGTGCGTCTGAACTCCCGACGGTTCGGAACAACCCGACATTGCGGGGTATGAAGCTCCAAGTGGGGCATCTAGATGACGGCATCACCAGCGCGCGGGTGTCGGTTTGCGTCGGTTTCCTTTTGAGCCAAGTTCATCCCATGGGCGCTTTGTCACCGTGCTACGACGAGACCTTCAAAAAGATCGGATCTTCCCCCCTTACTGTCATATCGAATGTCGCTCTTGTCCACATCTCTTAGACGCGGTTCCAGGCGCTTCGCAACAATGTCCTCTTCTCCACTAAAGGTCGCAGTCCTCGATGACTACCAGGGCATTTCGGAACCAAAATTCAAGGCTCTGGACTCGTCAAAGTACGAAGTCTCCTTCTTCAAGGACACCCTCCGCCCGTATAACCATCCCGACACTAGTCAAGATGTGAAGGATCAGCTTGTCAAGAGGCTGGAGCCCTTCACTGTCATCTGTACGTCCCTTTCGAATTTGAAATTCCTTTCCACTTCTTCAACTCCCTTGCATGAAATCACCCATTTAATCAATTGACACATAATACACACTCTCTCACAGCAACAATGAGAGAACGCACCCCCTTCCCACGCGAGCTCATCTCCCGCCTTCCCAACCTCAAGCTCCTCCTCACCACCGGCAACCGCAACCTGGGCTTGGACTTGGACGCCTTCAAGGAGCGGGGCATCCCCGTCGCCGGCGCCGTCGACAAATCCAACCCAGGTAGCGTCGGTTCCGTCAGCACCACCGAGCACTGCGTCACCATGATCCTCGCCGCCGCCCGCAACGTAGCCCAGGACGACCTGGCCGTCAAGACGGGCGGGTGGCAGACCGTTCCCGCCGTCAGCCTGCGGGGCAAGACCTTGGGTACTGTTGGCCTGGGCAGACTTGGCGTGGCGGTGGCCAAGATCATGAGTGTCGCTTTTGGCATGAAGGTCGTTGCTTGGAGCAGCAACCTCACGCAGGAGAAGGCCGACGAGCAGGCTGTCAAGGCCGGCTTGCCGGTGGAGGATGCGCAGACGGGCGAGAAGACGTTCAAGGTGGTCAGCAAGGAGGAGCTGTTTAGTACGGCGGACGTAGTGAGCGTGCACTTGGTTTTGTCGGATCGGTCAAGGGGTGGGATCGCCAAGAAGGATCTGGAGTTGATGAAGAAGACGGCCATCTTTGTGAACACGTCGCGCGGACCGCTCGTGGTCGAGGAGGATCTGCTCCAAGTGTTGGAGCAGGGCAAGATCAGGGCTGCGGCGCTAGATGTGTTCAACTTGGAGCCGCTGCCGTTGGATAGCAAGTGGAGGACAACCAAGTGGGGAGAAGACGGGCGGAGCAGAGTGCTGCTTACACCCCATATGGGGTATGTTGAGGAGGATACGCTTTCCGGGTGGTATGATCAACAAATTGAGAACTTGGAGAGATGGGTGAAGGGCGAGCAGTTGAGTTTGAGCTTGTATTAGGTCGAGCTTTTGGAGATGGATAATCAATAAGTATTTTTGACCCTCTTCTTCGCTGGCGGCCGGCTGATGATTATCGCGTAAAGCGAAAGCAGACGATAAACCCAGTCTCTTGTGAGCATAAGTCAATATCTTGCTCTCTTCGCCGGCCTTGATGAAGTCTGCTGAACAGGGGCAGGTCTTTCAACTTTTTTCTTGTAGCTTGGGCCTGGCCTTTTTCTGACATAGTGAGACCCTTGGCCAAAGTCCTTGACGCACTGCGCAATGTTCCGGTACAGAGGATTAGCCACCTCACGTCCACCATCCACCTCAACCGTGATCAGATATTCGGTGCTTTGATCGACATTAACCTTTACGTATGGCTGCGCCGCGTCTTTACCGTCTTCCTTGTCACTTGCCGCAACCTGTTGTTGATTGTTCTGGGCCTCCTCTTCTCGATCCCGCCTTCCCAACATGTAGCATTCATACGCCAAAGACTCGGGCTCTCCTGGGAAGTCGATGGGCTCGAGGTGACGGATGGGGTTTTTCTTGGGATCGACGCCACCGTGGAACATCATCCACAGGAAATTGGAGATATACCATCCCACAAAAGCCTCGGTTTTGACTTTGCGGTCGCGCTTCGCGTGGTAGATGTTGTAGAGAGCCAGTGCCGTAGCCTCCTTGAGAGCCGCGTTGTACTTTTCCGGATCGCTCATTTCCGGCTTGACTTTGAGGATGTCGGCCATGACGATAGAGCGCTGCAGCTTGATGATGTTCTGCACTTCTTCCATGGTGGGCACCTGTTGCTGTACTTTTTGCTGCTGCGGGATATCCATGATGGCTAGTATGTGACGCGGTGTCGAAAGTGATGGCTCCTGGGTTTTGACTGACAACTGATTATGATGAAAAATGGGAGCTTTGCGTTTTTTTTTTCATATAAGTCCTGAAAGTAGCAGAAGCTATCACCTCGGATATGTTGCTTCGAAAAGCGCTCGTGACCAGAATGCTTGTGTAAAGAGCTGCCGCTGTTGATGTTGTCGTTGTTGAAGTGTCGCTCTCGCCAGACCAAGAAATGTCAGTCAAGCTTGAGAAGTAACATTGCGAGATACAAGTTATATATGCAGCTACAGAGGCAATCGCAGCAAAATAGAACCGAGGAACTTGATCAACTGTAAGTTGTCCTGTGGAGTTTGGATGGAGTTTTGTTCACACCTTACGAGTGGAAAAAAACAATGCCAAGCATTCCCCCCCTCCCATCACAAACCCTAACCTCTACCTTCGCTCAAAGGGTTAGTTTCTACAGCAACAGGTTACTGTCAGCAAGTACGTTGGCTAGTAGTTTGAAGTGATAAGGGCGGGTATTGAGGAAACTTATAGTTAAAAAAAAAAGTTACAGTCGATGACCGTTAAAGTTGAAGCCGTAAGTACCGTACTCGTTATTTCCAAGACAAACCAACCGATGAGGGGCCAACCATGTCAACCGAGTAAAAGATAGGAAAAGAAAAAGTAAATTCCACCCGAGCTCGGTGGACGTGATATGTTTGACAAGAGTGGGATTCGAACCCACGCCCTTTCGGACCACGGATTTCTCAAATGAGGATTAAGGGTTAACCTTAACGTGGCGCCTTAGACCGCTCGGCCATCTTGCCTAATGTAATCTTCTTTTGAAATCTATACCTCTATATGGTGGTTTCAGTATTTGTCGTTTGGCCTCTAGGTCAAGGAGGGCAGCAATGAACACCAGTGCTGCTGGTAACCTTCGATTGCAACTGAAGTAGTCATGCGACGTGTAGTAAGATGTGATACTGATTATACTGTAGAAGAGACGTTAGTCTTGCTGCGTATCATTTCGAATAGAACCTATGAGCCTCTCGTTTTTGCGTTGCCACAGCGTCGGTGTAGGCGCAACGTTATCGGAATTTGAGGTCGACAAATGCTTCCCAAGGGCGACGGGACCGACGAAAAAAAGGACGAAAGCGGGGTTCTGCTTGCGTAGAATCGACCAGCTTTGATTGGTTGGTACCTTGCATAGCTGATCCACCTGCCCCTGGGTAAGGGTCCTTCCTCCTCTTCCTTTCGACAACTCACTGCGAACGAAGACAATCCGTACGACTTTCAAAAATGCACTACTAGTGCAACCACGAAGACCTAGGGCAGCCTAAGTCTGATGGGGTATTATAGAATTTGAGGGTATCGATACTTTCATACATTACATGTTCCTTCGCTATCATGGCCCTGCCGATGAACTACATAATTGACTGACGCCTGACTGAGTCCCCCGAGATGCGAATTTGGAGCAGGTGGGGCCCTTCGGCTACCGGCATTCTGCCCCTCGCATTTCGCCGTTAGTCATTTCCACCTTACCATTTTCGCTCTTCGTTCGGGTCAAACGGTCTTGGATCGAGCGGCGAGACCGTTGTTTGTGGGACCTTGTAATCCATCTTTGACTGTGCCGATATTCGTCGCATATCCATCTCGAACTGCCCGTCGCGACCCAGCTGTATCAAGCTCTGCTGGTCCATGCTCTTCCTGTCCGGAAGCTCATCTAAAAACCGCGGAACGAAACAACACGTTAGTGAACTGACTGGCAACAGGAAGGGGCGGGACGGGCAATGAACCACGGAAAGAACTTACCAAACACATTCTCCAACACCGATACAAAAACAAGCAAACCCAACAGCGCAGGAATAAACTGTCCATACGACCATTCCAGCTCCGAATCATCCTCCATCCATCCGTTCGCATGTATCCAATCCCTTAGCTCGACTGACGACACCAGCGACGCAAAGCCAACGCCGATATTCGCCAACAGCATGACAGTCCTGAGGCCCCACGACCACCGACTCTTCCTTGCTCCCTTCCCGCGCCATCGATGCGCCGCCATGGATAACCCAGCCGCAATCAAGATCAGCAAACTCATCAAGAACAGCGCCTGTCCATTTGGATGAGAATACTGGTCATACCCATCCACCAGCTTTAATCCGGGCGCCAGGATCGCGTGCTTGAAGAAACACTGCGCCGGCAAGATCTGCAAGGGAGTATGGTCCGCGACTGAGGGCATCCCTTTGCCTCCGACGGATCGACTAACAAAAAAGACCATGCCGGACAGGATGAGGTTGGTCAAAATGGTGACAACGCGCAACCCGTCGGCAAGCAGGCGCCGACGATGAAAGTACTTGCAATGTACGAGCAGGGCGTTGGCGTGGGTGACGGAGCAGAGGACGAGCCACTGGCCGATGAGATTGAGGTGGTAGGTCGAGAAGGAGCACCAGGTCTTGAGGGCCGCGATGGAGGTGGCCATGCCCAAGACGAGCTGCTGGTCGGACCATGAGATCAGGATGGTATCGGCGATGTTCCACCAGTGCTTGGTCGAGTGCTTCTCATGGTCGCCTTTATGACTTTGGCCGAAGATCTCATGGCATTCGACGGAGTGGATGAATAACGCCAGTAATGTCGAGGCGGCGAAGGATATGACGAAGCCGACCAAGGTCTGTTACATGTAGTATACATTTAGTAATTGTAGGTCAAAGGTGGGTCGAATGACAACAACGAACAACAACTAAACAAACAAGAAATAGGGTCGAAAAGATAAAGAGGGGAATGATAGAGAAAAAAAAAAAAAGGTAAATCGACTTACACCGACACCTGCTACATCCGGGTTAGGTTGTAGAGACTGCAACTCCTCCTGGAGCGCAACACTTGTAAAGCCCAGTATGTCGTCCGCTACCGTACTCGTATTGTCACGAAAGCCGGCAATGGAGTAGTCGCAGTGGTAATATTCGTCCCCTTTTGGGGCGCAGGTCGATAAGTGGGAGCCCATTGACGATTGACGACCGTACTAAGGGACCGTACTGGAAACCGTAAGGACGACGACGACGACGACGACGACTCACTGCCAGAACAGGAGGAGCATGGATGTCGGTATCAATCAGGGCAGGATCGATATGTCAAACGCGACCCAACTATCCACTGATGTGCTGCTCAAAACGAAGGACTTTTGTGAGAAGGAAGGATTGAAGAGAAATTGCGCGGCCATCGGAGCGACAGTGAGTGAGAGAACAGGAGGGGACCGAAAGGGTGCCTTTGGGGAGAGGGGGGAAGGTTCAAACAGCGCCAGGGATGGTCAAATACCAAGCCATGTAATTTTAAATGTTGGCTGATCCTAGTCTACTTCGGTCCACAGTGACCAGGGTCTGTCCTCCTTTTGGATTGATCCCTCGTGGCCATCCGAAAGTCTAACTTGATTGAGCTTGTCTAGTGTAGGTACGTAGAGACCTGGAGCGACATCCCCTGGTCCTGGCTGTGATCACGGACATGGGCATGATGTCCAGACACCCGTGGGATGGATGGCAGAGGCAGATCACTAATGTAAGTTCATCCCCATCGGGCGGACAAGATTGATAAAGACAGCGTCTATATCCGTCATCACAGTAACTTGTAAGCGGACACTTTTTTTTTGTTGAGGTGAAAGTACCTGTAGCCATTCTTCCATATAATAGACCTGAGCCAATGCAACAACTACTGACAATACGTACATACAAATCGCTCTATTTGCATAACCATAGCAGAGCATCATAATGAGCAGCCAAACGCCTGGTATCTCGCCATGCCGTTTATGTGCTTGGATAGCGCGCAAAAAGGCAAACCCGCTCAGACAAAAAGTCATCCAAGCTCACAACATCATGCGCCCCTTTTGCAAACGCCGCAGCCGATGTCCCAAAATCCTCTTCCTGAATATCCACCGGTGCGGACCAATTGGGGGATAAAAGTCAGGATAATAGCTCCTTCTCAGTATCCTACTAAGTCTTCTTGGATAGAAGTCAGGGTAAATCTGTCTCGAGACGTTTGCCTTCGCACCCGAGCAGCCATCATACCCCCTTCTCATGTGGTCGTTGTGTCGTACGCGACCGATTTGTTCTGCTTGCTAGCAGAGCTGCTGTCGATCAAGTCCATCCTACTCCTTCTTGACAACCGTGTTTCCCCTGGAATCACCAGATGGTCCGCGAGGGGGCTCGCGGCGGGGCGTATTGCACGGCCTGTAGTAACTTGAATCAGGTCGGCCCGGGTACTGAAAATAGACCGGCGGCGGAGTGAGCCTTCCACGTACTCCAAGAGGTGAACGGGCCCGGTAGCTAGCAGAAGTGTTAGAATGGCGGGTTGGAGGGGAGCGTGATCTGGCGCGGTCTTTCTGAATGTGCTGGGAAGGGCTTTGGGAAGGCCTTGTAAGACGAGCCCCCATGGCTAGTCCCTCAAAAAAGGCTTTGCAAACATCAGGACGATCGGTATAGTTGGGAACCGAGGGCCCGATGTAGTTCTGAAGCATGATCAGAAGCTTGAGCCGCTCACTCTCCTCGGTGGTGCGGCTCACAGCAACATCCAAGATGCCTGGCTCTCGTTTGACTAAGGACACGTTTTGACGAGAGTTGTGCTGACGAGATTTGTTCTGGCGAGAGTTGCCCGTTGACGTGGCTGAGAAACCATTGGCATGGCTGGTCGCAGAGGCCTTGGAAGACGCTGGTGGACGGGACCAGCGCTCCAGTTTTCCCCAAAGCTCCGAGTCCCTCAGCGCCTTATCTGCAACAACCGCCTTTGCCATTTGTTCTCCAACATACAAACCGTCAGATTCGACCATGGCGTCTCGGAGCTTGACGTTGAAACTGCACTTGCCGCCCACATTTGCACCCAAAACCCATTCAGGGTTAAACCCAAGCGACTGACATCTCAATGACAGTTTCTTCTTAGCGTTTACATCATAGGAAATTGAGGCCTCTGGCGCTAACAAAGCCTGAGGCTGGTCTTTCTTCGGTCCCCTTGGAACGTTACCAAAGGGGACGTTGGTAGAGGGGCGGCCCGCGCTGGTGCTGCGGGTTTGGAGCGTTTGGTCATTCGCGTGCTCAGAGGATCCAACAGAAGGTTTAGCCACTGCAGCCGTGGCTACCTTTACCTTCGCCTTGACGGGGGCTTGCAATCCCCCAAAGCCTCCGTGCACATCGCCCTTCACACGCTCCTGGCTCTGTGAGAAGAAGGTATGGCCAGCATGGGATGGGAACACTGGCTGAGAGCCGCCCCAGCTACCCGGGGCACGTGGAGACTTTGTACCCATTAAAGGATTGGCCAGAACAGAGTTTTTGAACCGATCCTGAGGTGATCCCGGCACGAGTTTTGGACCGGCCGGCACCTGTGAATTGAGGAGAGAAGACAAGGGATTTTTGATGCCAGGTAGCTCTTTAACGACGTCAACCTTTCCGGGCGCAGGGCGAATGGCCATTGGCCCTCTTTGACTGCCATCCCACGGCGAACTGCCGGCGGTGGGGGTGGAGGCGATTTCACCTGGCTCTGAGACCTTTTAGTACTGCGAGCACAAAAAGAAATCAAGACATGAGCGGAAAGAGGTAACAAACCGAGCTCACTGCTTGAACCACGGTCCGAGACGCGCAGGGGAGGAATATTTTGGAACGTAGGAACAACTTCTACGGTGGTTAATCAAAGAACTAGAGGGAATGAGAGTGATAAAGGAAGCAAAGGAATATCCCATACCGGTTCCCTCCCTCCTGACCGACGGGAGCGACGTCTCATTGCTGCTGCGCCCGGTTGAGAGTGGGTATGGCGCGGGCAGCTGGGCTAGCAGCTTGTCAATCAGATCGTCGTCTGGCATCTTTTTAATGATGTTATCTGTTACGCTTCTGTCGTGTCGCGTCGGGAATAGAGTCCTGATTGCTAAGACGAAGACGAAGAATTGGTGATGGAAACGGATGTGCCAAGAGGAAACCAGCTCAGATTCTGGAACAAGGTGGGGGAAAAGCAAGAGGCCAAGGTTCGGTGGAGATTGGGAAGGCGCTGCCGTCCTAACGTCGCTGCCCTTTGGAACAACAGGTAAGGAAGGTACGAGGCCGGGAGTGGCCTAACGACGGAAAACCGGACGAAACGCAGGCAGGAGAGCGGGCCACCCGGGTCTGAAATCAATACGGCGAACTCGGTAATGACTGTACCGTGACCTCTGCCTCAGTACCCTATCATACTCATCCTAAGTGGCATTGCACAAGACAAACAGACGCCAGCCAAGCCATGGGACCCAGGATGAAATATGAGGAGCATGTTCAGTATGAACGCGGAAAACATCAGGTGGAATATCCAGCGATATCATCCTTCTCCGGCTGTGCCGTCATGCCCTTATCCCAAAGAGACTTCGTTGTGCATTTTGCTGCGTTCGTCGCCTCGTGACTCGAGAACAAATCTAGCTCAGGTTTCGTCGTACGCAATTACTTCCCATTTCAAAGCAACCCATGAGGTTGTTTCGCGGGTAGGAGATGCTATGTGTGAGTCTGGCATCCTCAAATTTAACCGAAGTAGCTCGCAACTTCCATTCGATTGACACTCGAGCTTGACAAATGGCAGTATCCCCATGCTCGAAATCATAATAGGGGAAATCGACCTGAGCGCAAAGACATGTGGAAAGCTGCACAGTATCAGTGCACCGCAGAGAGTCTGTTGTCTCGGTAGTTTGAATAGACGGACAACTACCATATAAACTATGCATCAAGAGCCCAGTCCACGTTGGGAACGCCCTTGGTGCCAGAGGGTATGCGTATGACACTCGCTGATGGCCAGGCCCCGAGGCAGCAAATATTCCATCAGATAGCTCAGTTAGATGCTAACTAATGAAGCATTAAATGATCATGGTGAGGTAAGTACTTTGAAGGTCAAGGAGGCTTTCCAGAGCTGTTGTGTTGAGGCAAGAGAAGGCTGGTTGTTCGAGAACCAGAGTCCTCGGACTTGCGCCTGGGGCCATCGCTGCCAGATGTGAACATGACATAGTGTTATCCAGCCAAGAGTGCCCAAGAGTCAGAAGTATGAATGGAGAAGTTGCCAAGATCCGCGCGCGATGTTGTGGGGTGCAATGCCATCGAAGTGTCCAACGTGAAGGATGTTGTCGTCGAGTTAAGATGTCTTGGCGAAGTCTACAAAGATGCTCATGCATTCCATGTCGACCGTCGGTTCCTGTACCGATTGGTTTAACTTTGTCCCGAAGTGGGGCTGCTGCGGTTGGCGATGGTCAAGTCCATTGCTCTGATTTGCTGTTTCAGATGGTGAGGGGATATAGACGCGGAAAGTATGGTAGGATGAGACTGGAAAATAGGCTCCGAATGAGATAACCTGAATCATTGAGACCCCATAAACTGATGCTTTTCCCTTCCGCCATCCGAGAAGGGATTGCCCTACCATTACGCAACTGGCCCCATCATCACCGACGGCGGTTACACATGCTTTCGCCTGCGGTGCTTTAGTTGCTGAACTTTCTCGTCCGAGTACCAAAGGCTTCACATTGGCAACTATGAATGTATCTATGAGGACAGATTTGGTCGCGAAAGTGTTTGACTGAAGGACCGACAATACATTTAGATATCAAGCACTGTTGTTGAGGATCAGGGAGACGGTAGGTAGCTCACTCACTCATCGTTTCAGTTATGGCGGGGTTGCCTTCTAGATCTTGGCGCCAAGGCTCCTCTTTCACCCTCTCTCCCTATACCATATGGTACACTTGTGCATAGGACCAAAGTTTAATGGGTACTATTTTGACGAAATAGGTTGGATATGCATTAGTGTATAAGGGTGATGGATTTGTTGTTTATGGACGATGAGTTGGCGATTCATCAGCGAGTCGTCGGTGTGACGTAATTGACTTGAAGCTATAGTCATTTGTCAGCATCAACACCCCGCCATTATTCCCGCAGTGCTCGAGACAACAAACAAGAGAAACGAAGCTTGATATTAAGCTCTCCTTCTCCTTCATACCACTGTGATAGCATCAATTCTTTGCCTCAAAGTTCACACTATCCATCAAACCATCATGGCTTCAGCAATCGTCCTCGGCGCGACCGGTAAGCCACTCCTGCGTTCATCACCCGCCATAACTCATGAACTCATCACGTTTCTCCCTCAGGAATTATCGGCCGCGAGTTAATCAAGGAGCTATCCGCCCACCCGTCCCAATGGAAGTCCATCCATGCTCTCTCTCGCTCCAAGAAGGAAGACTTCGGCAACCCTAGCGTCCAGCAGCACCACATCGACCTGCTCAACTCCGCCCAGGACATGGCCAAGGACCTTTCAGCCATCCGCGACCTAGATGCCGTCGAGCACGTCTTCTTCTGCGCCTGGCTGCAAAAGGCCACAGAGAAAGAAAACGCGGACGTCAACGGTGCTATGCTCCAGAACTTCCTGGACGCCCTTGAAATCACCGGCGCCGTCTCCAACCTCAAGCGTATTGTTTTGGTCACCGGTTGCAAGCAGTACGGCGTGCACTTGGGCCAGGCCAAGGTCCCGATGCTCGAGTCCGACCCTTGGTTGCGCGACGAAAGCAAGTGGCCGCCCAACTTCTACTATCGCCAGCAGGATATCCTCACGGCCTTTTGCGGCGAGGGAAGCAAGCACCCGGAGATCAGCTGGACTGTGACCTACCCCAACGACGTCATCGGGTACGCCAGCGGTAACTTTATGAACCTGGCTACGGATATCGCCATCTACGCGGCTGTGAACAAGGAGCTCGGTCGGGATCTGGAATTCCCAGGCAACGAGACTTTCTATACCAAGTTCGACGTCTTCACCAGCAGCAGGCTGCACGCGCAGTTCTGCGTGTGGGCGGTGCAGGAGCCCAAGACGGCGAATGAAGGCTTCAACGTGTTCAACGGCGACGTGCAGAGCTGGCAGGATCTGTGGCCTAGAGTGGCGAAGCATTTCGGGATGAAGGTCAAGGCGGACCAATTCGCTTCTCCTGCTCCCAAAGATTTGGCGAATCTGGTCCAGCTCACCGAGAAAGCGCCGCAGCCCGTGACAATGCTGGCGAAGGAGTTGGGACTGGAGGGAGCGAAGTCGATCCCGCCCAGTCAGCTGGAGCAGAGGATCAGTTTGGTGAAGTGGTCGAAGACCGAGGAGGTGAAGCAGGCCTGGAACAGGCTTGCTGACAGAGAGGGGTTGCAGAAGGATGCTTTGGAGAAGGCGACTTGGGCGTTTACTGACTTCATTTTGGGGAGAAACTATGATGTGGTGGGTAGCATGAGTAAGGCCAGGGAGGCTGGGTGGACTGGGTACGTATTCATCGTCACTCATTTTTTTTCTCTTTCTTCCACGATGATGGACATCCGCTAACGTTAGATCTCTCTCATATCAGATACATGGACACGTGGAAGTCGCTGTCGGACACTTTCGGCGAACTTGAGGAGGCGCGTGTCATCCCCAAGACTCATTAAATCAGCACTACGTGATGCCGTAGGCGAAGTAGTTAGATAAAAGCTCTAGGATGCCGCTCGTCCAAAGAATAAGACAGTGAAACCAAGAGGGGATTAGTTGTCCACCGTTTTAAGATAGAATGAGCGGGTAGGAGATTTTAGGTATAGCGAGACACCGTAAACGCTCGGTTGAATACCACCAGCCAGCTGCGTATAGCAACGGAAGTTGCGTGCCGGGTGAACGACAAGAGCACCAGTACAAATTTGGAAATGCTTTCGACTGAAGTCGTAGGTACACCAAGAATTGGTTAGGGTTGGGTATCTTCCATCATCTTCCATCTTTCGTCTTCAACTTCCGATCACATCAGACGGCCCCACGCTTTCAGCCGTCACTGCATCAATAAATCATCGGGGAATCATCGCAAAACACCAATCACTCGGTTGCTCCTTGGCAGTCTGCAAATTGCTCTTCAACCAGCACCGGTGTTTGTTGCCCTTGTCACCATCCAGATAGCCCCAAGAGCAGCCGCTACACCTCTCCATGGCCGCACAGGCATCGATACACTCGGCCATATCGCCGGCGAGGAAGTTGCCGAGGTCGTCTGCGGTGTAGTCGACTCCGCAAAGACGCAAAAAGCTTTTTGCCAGCCCGGGAATCCTGTGCATCGTGTTGTTGGCGGCGGGACAATCGGAATAGGCTGTTGGTCTTGGTTTGTTGATTGATGACGTGGTGGTGCTACTTGGAATGGTTGTTGCGGTTGAGACTGCCGTTTGAGAATGACTGGGCATGAGTGAGGGTATAGTGATAACAGCATCTTGGATGCTCGATATAGGAAGGGCAGTTTGTGAACTGTTGCAAGTGTCAGCATAAGATGTAAGTGCGAAAACTCGAAAAAGCTGTACCGTACCTCGATGGTCCAGGTGCTGTTGAGCTGGACGACGACTTTGACGACCTCGATAAGCCAACACCAAGGCCCACACTTAGGGGAAGCACAATAACAAGCAGTATAACCGCTATAATAATCGCCCAGAGAACGCCTCTCCTTATACCCCATCTTTGTTGATACTTGCCGAGACAGCCTCGGGATTCTTCAGCCGGCGGTAGACTGCCGCCAACTGTAGAACGAGAGGCCGCATAACTTCCAGTTACCGATCCGCCTGCAGCAGCTCGCTCAGCCGCAAGGCCCTTTTCGTACTCTGGCGGTGTTGGTGATCCTTCACGAAAGAAAGTATACTGCGAGTCTTCTGCGTTTCCTCGCTCATCCTCCTGGTCATCATCTGCCCAGTATACCTCGGGCACCTTCCCCCGCGTGGGTGAGTTTCTTGGTGACGGTTTTGGTTGAGGTTGGTCCATGTGGTGTTGTGGTTGTTCTTGTGTAAGCGGACGCGGTTTTAGTCTTTAACTTGTGGGGACGAAGACGATCCCTGAAGATGCGACAGATCTATTGGGAATCGCTCTGGAGCTCTATGGTAGGGTTGTGGTGTAGGAGCTATGTGAGCGCTGAGGCCATCTCGCTCGCTTGTTGCCGTCTTTGAAGGTGTCTCGTCTGTTGCCGTAGGGGATCGGCGTTGTAGTAAACTCAGAAGATGGTACTGTCGGAATACGGCGCCGGTGGTTTTCGATTGCGCCGTAGCACATGAGCTGGAGAAGAAAAAAAAAGAAGAAGAAAGCACAGAGGCCATCCGGAGCGACAGACAGAACATCACTTGATGAGCATGACTCCGGCACCATGGTCTTCTGGAACAGGCGTTCGCCAAGGCCTCTCCCGAAGTTCCATTCCCTGTCCACCGCAATCTTGCGAAATTGCATCGCGACTTTTACGCTTTGACCCTTTGCCCGATCGGGAGTGTTTTATTGCCAAGGTGACATCACATGTGGGCTCCTTTTCTCTTCTCGCCCGTCTCCGGCGCCGCCAAACTCCTTTGCTGTGCATTTGACCGTTGAACCTCCTCAAATCTCAATGATAAGAAGGATACACGGGACATGTAAGTATAGCAGGTGCCCCTGTGCTATAACACATGTTATCGTGTGGTCCGATGGTGCTGGGGCTGTCTGCCCAGGGGAACCCAACGTCGACATTTGTGATCCTAGACCAACAATGCAACAGGCTATGGCGATGTGGATGTGATATGTAGGTTTTCCGGATCTTCGAGAGGGAAATGAGCGCAGCGAAGCCAGGCATAAGATGAGGCATCTTGATACCTGAAATCCCGGTTGTCTGTACTGCTCACGAAGTCAAGAGGACTAGGCGGCTGAGGGCAAAGTGATGTTCAGATTCGGCCGATGATAACGAATCCGGTATCATTAATGGGAGCGTATAACAAAGCCAACCATGAAAGATGAGTCTAGGAGAAAGATGATGAATTACCAAGCGCTCTGGGGCCCGAAATGACCATCACTCCTCAGTGGTCGGTGGCTTCGATTTTCTGCCACTGATCGGTTCCACAAGTTTCTCTGGATGTTTGGAGGACTCCGTATCAGGTTCCTTCTCTTCTGATGCTTGCTGCGACAACTTCAAGCCTTCCAATGCTTCAATAACGTCCGATGCCTGCTTCGATGCCTGGGAGGTTTCTTGTAGTGACGTTTTCGGACTACCTGGGATGTTAGGGGCGTCGTCGCCCTTCCGCCAATACATGGTCGTGCTGGAGAATATATAGTTCATGTCGGGAAAAGGGTACTTGGTGTAAGTGGCATCCATCTTGGAGATGGGACCAATGAACTCGTTGAGGCTGGGGTCAAAGTCGACAACCTTTTCCCATTCTTCCAAACCTCCACCGATGAATGTAGCTGGAAGTGTAGCCAGAGCAAGGTAATACGTGCGAAGCTCCATATGAATGCCATAGACCAAAGTATGTTCATCGACCATGGAAAATGCATCTGGGGTATCGGCAACTTCAAACCCAAGTTCGACACAGAAGTCCTTGTCGATCTGGGTGAACATGGGCTCCTGGATGACACGTTTGATTTTGTGATCACATTGAGATTCTGTCATACAGCATCAGTAATTGAAACCTCCCCAAGGCCATGGCCCACTGAGATACCGACCTAGGAAGTCTACAATGGCGCAAAAGGCTGCGGTCTGCATATGAGCGGTTCGCCTGGCCGCAAAGCTGCCATTGCTAGGATCATAGGGACCAGGCCCGAAACAAATGGCTTTGGTAATGAGTGGATGATTGGACTCGGATCGAGCAGTGGCAAGCAGGTCCTTCAGGGTCTTCCAGCAATCCGATATCTGCCACTCTTGTCTGGCCGTATTGTGATGCTTGTGGATGTCGCTGACGGTGAATTCGGGGTTTGGATTTGGTCGGATTCCTAGCCCGTTCTCCTTGCTCTCATCCACGTCCGTCTTGGGCTTCGGCACATTCCGGATGCGCCCGCGCTTCCGGCTTACTTGACTCCATTCTTCGTCTTGTTGTGGCATTTTTGAGTTCAAGTGTGATGTGCTGCAAACATTGACAACTGTCCATTATTGTCATCGGAACTTTGGGCGAGGGACATGCGATAAGAAGTGGATTCTGCCTTATCGGCTCACCGCCTGCTGAATGGCTTGGAGAGCTGCTGGCAGCCGAGAGCTCTTCCCTTGGATGGCCCAAGCTCCATTCCTAGAAGAGCAGCCCACAGCGGGAAAGCTCCTGTCGTTCGGGGGCCCTTGTCGCCCGCTGCCGTGCCTTTCCCGTCGTCATCTCGGTGATCTTGTTTTTGTTTCTGCTCGGAGGAGGTCCATGTGGTGTACGCTACTATGACTCCAGTCGGGTCTGATCAACCTGCCGAACTCGACGACGATCATTCCAAAATGACTTTCCCAGATCAACACTACTAGTGTGTCTTCTTTTTTTCCCTCTTCCTCACACTAAAAAAAGAATATTCTCTCTGCCGGCGGCGATGGGTGGCTTGTTCTCCCGCTACAACTGGCTTTTGGGCTACCATGGTGAGCATGGCCGGGAACCTACCTCTAGGTAGGTAAGCTTGACGCTTACGGTTGCACCATAACCTATCGAAAACACCTCCAAGATATCATCCCCGCTGCAAGTCATCATGAACTAGAGGTACCCCCCAACTTCTTCCAGAAGGTGTGTTGCGTACCTGTATCATACACTACATAGCGCCTCGCGATGGCTTCAACCATTTCCAAGAGCCGTGGCACATGGGTCATTTGCCTGCGCATGCGACATTCAAACACCCAAGAACACTGTTGACCTTCACACTTCGGGCAACCGCCAAGTACCTCTTCTTGCCTGTGATTGGACGGTCCCCCCGACTTTGGCGCTTAGCTCTGAAAAAGAATTGGTTGGATCTCGGACGACGGACGACGCCAACGGATCACACTGTAACGGGAGAGGGACATTCAGCGATCGACACTACACTACCGCAGGGTCAAGCCAGCTGTATGTACCTTTTTATTCCACGAGGGAACTTTAACAGAGACAACTCCGGTTGGATCTAATTGTTGACTCTTTTGATACTTTGATGCAAGTCCCACAATGTTCGATGCCATTGAAAACGGAGCATGGCAAAATCCATCCAGCGAGGTGGTAGCGGCTGCCGCTGATCAAGTGTTGGTGATAGTAGCATGCAGCACCGGAGGACGAGGGTTCAATCACATTGGCCGGGTCTTCGACATGAGTTTGCTCCGTCCTAGCGAGTCGCCTGCAGGACCGAGGCGAAACGGCGATCCCATTGGCTGGACAGTCATGATCACTAACAGGGGCCTCGACCTCTCTTCAGCCGTTTTCCCCTTTTCTCTCTTTTGCCGTCGTGAGATTCTCTCAACCTTGTGAGGAGAAGCGTGTGCCGGACTGGGGGTCACACCCACTGGGCAGGGGGGTTCAAGGCGGAACCCAAGTCGCTCCCGTCACCAACGGCCCCAGTCCTGTGTGCCGATGGGTCTCTGCTGAGTTGACAAGGCCTGGGCGGCTGCGGCCTGGCGGGATAGGAAGCACAGGATGGTTCGCATTGGTTCATGTCGTGAAATATACCTACCTGCCATGACCCGACTAGTCATTCTTTCGGTCTCTCTCCGAAATCCTTTCTTCTCATCAGCCCAAAAAACCCCCCCTTCGACATCAAGTCCGAATATCTGACCTGAAAAATCCATCAACTATCAACATCACCATCCAGAACATCAAAAGTATCTTCATCATCATACGCCAAGTACATCACACAGGTCACAAATCTTGGGTCAGCACAAATTCAGTCGACAGGGTCACGAAAAGCTAGCTCAGGAAACTCGAAAAGAAGAGGAGGACTCGACTTTGGTTCCGAAAGGGAGGAATACGTGAAGACTCCGGTTCCTCAAACACTCGACTCGATCTCAAACATACACATAGCTATACACCATGCTCACATCAACACTCTTCGCCCTCGCCAGCGCGGCGCTGGCTTCCGCCCACACTGTCATCACATACCCCGGGTGGAGAGGCAACAACCTAAAAGACAATGAAGAGTTTCCCTACGGCATGCAATGGACATATCCTTGTAAGTACTTATCCCATCCATCAGCCCATCATCTCGAACACCACTCCATCCCCACGCCCATCCCCATATCGCTCGCCAAACCCACCGGCTAACCATACCCTCTCCCTCTTTTCATATATAGGCGGCGGTCTCACCCTCACCCAGAACCGCACCTACTGGCCCACAACAGGCGGTGCCATCTCTTTCCAACCAGGCTGGTTTCAAGGCCACGCGACAGCCTTCATCTACGTTAACCTCGGCGTCGGCAACGACGGTCCCGACGGCGGGCCGAAGAACATGAGTTTCCCCATGGTCAGCCCATTCCAGATCATCGGGCCCGGAAAGAACCCGTACCCGGGCACCTTTTGTCTGCCGCAGGTGTCGACTCCCGCCGGGTTTGAGTTCAAGGAAGGTGATAATGCGACGATTCAGCTTGTGGAGTTGGCGATTCATGGTGCTGCTTTGTATTCGGTATGCTGTTTTTCATCTCCCTCTCTCTCCTTTTGGGTCTAATTACCGGCTGGCTATTGTGTCGAGGTGATCCACTGGATTGGAAAAAGTGCAATGCTGACTTCATTTAAAAATAACAACAGTGCGTCGACATCACCTTCGTTCCCCCCGGTGACCCGCGCGTCGCCCAAGTCAACGAATCCAACTGCTTCAACAGCACCGACCTCGGCGCCGCCGACCTGTACACCATCAACATCCTCGAGTCCGGCCGCGACAAGCTGGCGCTCACCAGTGCCGCTGCCTCGCTCGCCCGGATGGCGGGCTGGGTTCCTCTTGTTGCTGGTGGGTTGTGGATGATGCTATAAGCTGCGGCCCCGGGAAAAGAAACATCGGTTTGATGGATGATCATATGGGGCAAAATGAGAAGCGGGTTCGGATTCAAATGATACGATGACACTCAAGAAAAGGAGATGATGATTACTAAAAACACCGACTGACAACAACTCGATGAGGTCGGGTGGTTGGGTGACTGAGATGCGCTGAGATGAGATAATGCGAGGAGATAACAACCTTAAGTTGTCTGTGTGGCTGTTAGGCGCCAACGACAACAACGAGAAGTAAGGTATCGATATTTTGGAGGACGAATCGATTTGTCCACTAGGCGTTCATCTGGGAAACAGGAAAGGAAGGTGGATTGGAACCATTTTTTTGTTACAAGATTCCCCGGCGCGGGCGACGGCAGGCGCGCGTTTTCAGTTCTTTATTCTGTCGATTTGTATATACCTCTTTTCTCTTTCATCCTCTGTCATTTTCGCGACTATGAAATGAGTAAATACTGAACCCGGTTGGTATGAAGTACTGGCTTCTTACTTAGTGAATGTTTCCCGAGTGTACTGTTTGTTGCTTGACGCAAAAGCCTTCCACTTGACCACAATCACTTGACAATGACATTATTTCTAAGTTTATGCATTGACCATGGTTTTGACAAAACTCAAAAAGGTACCATCATCACAGATTTCACTCAACTGTTCGTCTCATCCGCTCACTGCACCGTTTGATCACATCAGATGATCGGTTCGGCGAACAGCCGGGCGCCTACTCGAACATGTCATCGAAAGATACCTACTGCAACCGCCGTGTACGTGGCGAGACGATAAGAACGTGGTAGCGCACAACCCATGACCAAGTGGTCAGAGTTCAAGATCATCTGTATCTACTGAACGTGGTCAGCTCTACGCCGGCTAGGCTCACTGGTGCTATATGGTAACTGCATTGACCGCCGTCAAATAACCCCTCCATCTCGACGTCCCTTGCTATAGTGATATTAGACCCATGCATTCACTCCTTTCCGACTTCCTCACGCCCGTATATACGAGAGACACTCCTGAATAACGTCCTTGAGGCGCTGCTCCCGAGTCTGCCCGATCACCGGAGTCAACCAACCATCAACTCCCTGCTTCTTCGCCTCCGCTACCGGCTGTGGGCCGATAGAAAGAACCATGCCGAGCGCCATTAGAGCGCGGAACAGGACTTCAGGATCCTTCTGCTTACGCACGGTTGCCTCGACAATCATGATGAGAAGCGCAATTTCGTCCAAGTTCGCATCCAACTTCCTTTCTCTGTAAAATAGGCAAGCAAAGTTGAAGGCCGCCGAAGTCAGGGCAATCTGGAAATTGTTGTTCTCGGCGCCAATCACGCCCTTATCCCCGTCGAGACCAACAATGTGTCCCATAAAGGAGAGAATAACGCCGGCCTTGCTGGCTACGAGCTTCCGGCCGTGGTCAAGCTTGAAGAGATTGACAATGGTACGAAGAGCCATCATGACGCTATTAGCATTTGCTTTTGTTGCGTCAACCTTGTTGGCGATAAAGTCGCTCAATGAGCCGTCTGCAGTTACAGTATCCTCCACGTCAAGTGCTCCCCTGACCGCAATGTCGATGATGTCGCCATAGCGGTCGTCTGTGATGGAAGCCGCGGCAGGCCAGGCGGCGAGGCAACGGAGAATATCTAACGCTGGCAGCCTGTCCGCGTACGGCCACTGAGTGACGAGTGTGAGGAGAATGGGTTTTGATGCGTCCAAGTTGGCCAACTTTCCGGCAGCAGAAGCTGGCCGAAGCAGCTGCTTGACAAGCTCCTCAAGAATCTCAACGTTATCGGGGTTCATCGCGATATGCTTGTTCCCGGCCTGAATGTGCTTGGTGTTGAGCGTCTTGAGTCTAGCAAGGGCCGGCTCAAGTTTGCCGTTAGTCAAACTGAGGAACTCGGTATGCGGCAAGTATTTAGGCTTCGCAGGTTGACTGTCCTGGCCAGGTATGTACCTAGAGTCGGTACCGTAAGGGTCGCTCGAGGGGGCCTCATTGGCCTGTCCTAGGGTGGCACCCTGAGTATTCTGTGTGATGAAGTTGGCGACGTTGTCGAGATACGAGATCGGGAGTTCATTGTCACCAAGGAACTTGGTGGCCGCGTCGTACGGATTCTGCGACAGGTTGTAAGGGAGCTTCAGTGGTGGCTTGCCATCCTCAATATCCACGTCGAAGACGTAATCGTACTCTTGGCCATTGTACGACACCTTTTTGCCACTGCTACCAGCAGAATCAACGACTGTTCCGACGTGGATCCACTGTTGTTGACCTGCGTAACATGTTAGCTTGGTTCACAGACTAAGGGCGGGCTAGTTGCACTCACCCATGGACCATTGGTAGGCGCCAATGGTGCCATCCTCCTCCCTAATCATCTTGATCTGGCCATCCTTGGTCCCGGAATTGGTTTGCATCCAGTCCTTGGTATCAAGCTTCTCCTTGTTGATATTAGAGCCGACCTGCTGCTGTGGGATTGCAGAGCTTCGCACAGACTCTTCAAACTGGGCGATGGTTTGGGTGTCCGCTGTCCGATCAGCGCTCCGGGTAAAGACACGGACCATATTGTCGCTGGCACCGGACACAATGTCGCCATTTTCGGGACAGACGGCCACAGTCCACACCGAGATGGCAGGGTGTGTAATAGTCTGGATGCATTCGGAGCCCCTCCAGATTCTCAAAGTGCGGTCTTCTCCAGAACTGACAATTTCGCCGGTAGGTAGGGCGGCAAGTGAGTAGATGAAGCTGTCGTGGCCCTGAAGATTTCCCACCTCTTTTCCTGACAACTTCCATAGCCGAATGACGCTATCATTACCGGCACTGGCGAAATCAGCACCGCTGGGATGTCCCTTCAGGCCTGAGGGAAGCTTGCATAATGCGCGCACAACATCACCGGTCCTGAGGGTGCGTGAAGCTTCAATTTCGAGGCCCGTAGCGCCTTTTAGTCGGAATATCCGTACGTTGTTATCGGCGCTGCCGGTAATAATGGTATCCGCGTCGTATGCGAGGACTGTCCAGACACCTCTGTTGTCCATGTTGTGGACGAGCACATGGGCCATCTCCCAAGTAGCAGTATTCCAAACGATCGCTTTGCCATCCCAGCTGCCAGAAACAAGCCATTTTCCGTCGGGCGAGACGTCGAGTGTGCACACATTGTGGCCATGTCCAACTAGGAGTCGCTCGGCATTAATATCAGGTGTCGCATTCGGCTTCTTGACCTCGATGATGGGCTCGGCGCCGCCTGAAACAACCAGGCCGTCGGGGTATTCGCCAGTAGGTGGGATGAAGGTGAGAGAGTTGATGTAGCCGTGACCTTGGCTAACGATAGTGTCGTCGAAGGGTGACTGGCTCGTCGCCTTGCGCCAAAGTCGAACAGTGTGGTCTCGGGAGGCAGAGAGGACGACGTTAGCTGCTGGAAAGCTAACTGCCCGAACCTGGGTGACGCACGTGTTAGCTTTGAATGACGGGCCTCTTAATCGCCGTACTGACATCAGATTCGTGGCCCTTTAGTTGGGCTGAGAGCTTGAACTCCTGCACCATCTTTGCTGTTGTTGTTGTTGGGACCTCGGCCGATAATGATGGGTTAGTTCCGGGGGCGGGGCTCAGTCGTGGCGGCGAGCGTGCTCCTTGAGTCGACAACGGGACAACGCTGGCGTACACGGGTCTCAGAAGGGCAATATAAGTCGTGGTTCGGTGCTCGAGCAGGTTGAGGGTGAAATAGCACGTAAAATGGAAGAGAAAGGGACGCGCTTGATTTGTAAGAAAACCGGGGGTATACTGATGTTGGGAAAAATAGAAGGAATGGGAATTGGGTCGAAGTTCCGATGGCAGGAGCGGTCCTCAGCTTCCTCCCTGCGAACCTCGCTGACAGATGACGAACTGGAGTTGCGGATACCGCCCGTATCGATATCGGCAGGGGCGGTTGGCGGGGCATCACTGTCGGGTCGTTGAACGTCGGTTGTGTTAGGTTCCGTCCTGTTGACGCACCTGGCAGGAGGCGGGGGAGCTTGAGCCACTGGGGCCCGGGGGGTTAGGTTCAATTGTTGATACAGTAGTATGGAAGTACGGACAGGAGAGGTTCGTCTAATCAATCCTTCCCTTGCCCTTCTGCTATGTACATTACTAGTTCAGGTGACTGAGCCTCGCCGGGCTGCAATCACGTCACTTTCATTTAGACTATTTGCCCCATCATTGTCGTTTGGAGGTGTCAAAATCCCGTCTTCAGGTATTGTAAAGGTTGACGATTGTGTACGCCTCGACTTACAAGCTCAGGTTCCAGACGTTGACTTATCATCACAGCGATTCACATCTCACTAAACCCTGCAAGTTACGAGTACTTAGAAACAACACCATAGTACATTATAGTGCAGGTAGTCGCCTTGATACTTCATGTTTATTCGGATAAACACTTCCCTGGTCTTGTTGGTTCCTTCAATCTCAAATGCCCCTGGCGATAGAACCTGGGGCTGTCATCGATCTGATAGCATCCGCGTTGCTGAAGCCTGCAGGCAGGCATAGACGTAGGCTCGCGGCCGCCCCCTGCCTGCCGGTGGCACCCGCTTGCAGCGGGTAGTCCCTAAAGACTCCGCAAGGGGCATCTGTGACGGAGGGGACACCCTAAACGGCAACCAGGTGCCACCAGTGCATCGCCCCGTTGCAGCCAGAGCAAACGCCAAACCCATTCTTTCTCCTCTCAATTACCTACTCTTGACGGCGCCACGACCTAGAGATATGATCACTACTCTGGCATCATCTCTCCATTTCTTTTCCGGTTAAATACGACGATTTTGGGCTCTCCCTCTTCACGACCGTTACGCTTTCCATTCCTTTGTCCGACTCTTCGACTCGACTTGCGAAACTGACGATAGATTTGCCCCTCCTGGCTTTGCTCATCATACACGGCGTCATCACCAACGTTTTCTTCGATACTCTAGGCCGCCTCTCCACGCATACTCCTCACTAATCGACGGGACTCACTGCCTCTATTTCTCTTCAAGGGACGCCCGCCGTTCAGGCTTCTTATATCCTGCTTCAGTCTTTACATATTACTCCATCACGATCCACAATGACCGAACCCGCGCGCCGCCAGACAGTCCCTTTGACCTGCCATGGCCACTCGCGGCCTGTCACCCACTTGAGCTTCTCCCCACTTGAAAAGGAAGATTCCTACTACATGATCTCTTCTTGCAAAGGTACCCACGGGTCTTTTACGGGTTAGCCAACAACTATACATGACGACGGTTACTGACGTGGCTCTTCCCTACAGATGGCAACCCAATGCTCCGCGACGGCCAAACTGGTGATTGGATCGGCACCTTTCTAGGGCACAAGGGAGCTACATGGCAAGCAAGACTTAGCCCTGATGCATCGACCGCTGCCACCTCGTCTGCGGACTTCAGTGCCAAGATCTGGGACACCCACACCGGCGAACTGCTCTATGTCCTCAAGCATGACCATATTGTCCGCGCCATTGCCTATCCGTACGAAAACTCCGGACTGCTGGCAACTGGCGGATACGAGAAGAAGCTTCGCATCTTTGACCTGGCGGATCAGAGGCCGGCTACTTCACCATCGGGCACCAGTCCCGAACCAGTCACAATTGACGCATCCAAAGCCTTTGAGATTGGCGAAGGGGTACACAAAGATATCATCAAGTTCATCGTCTGGGCTCGCGACCCCAACGTAATCATCACCGCGTCTGGCGATACGCTGCGCTGGTTCGATCTTCCCTCTCGTCGTTGTGTGCGTGAGGCGAAACTGGAAGGCGAGATCAAGTCATGCGAGCTGGTTTCACTTGCGCCTTCGCATAGCGCTCCCACCGACATCGGCGGCGGTTTGCCTGTTCTGGCGGTGGCTGCGGGAAAAACCGCCTATTTTTGGGGTGGAAGCCGAGCTGAGGATGAGCTCAAGAGGATCACGCTTCCCCATGGAATTGCTAGTGTTGGGCTGGACCTAAAGGGTAGAAAGTTTGTTGTTGGCGAAGAACCGGGTACTTGGGCTCGCGTCTACACCTGGGACGAGGGCCAGGAAATCGATGTCCACAAGGGCCACCACGGCCCTATCTGGTCCATTGCGTTCTCTCCCGACGGCAACCTGTACGCAACTGGGTCAGAGGATGGCACAATCAAGATGTGGAAGAACTGTGACGGCTATTACGGGCTCTGGCGTGGGGGTGTATCCGGCAGTGGCACCGACTAGGAGAAGAAGCATCAATGCCCCGATTTTGGCTCAGCGAAGGAGTACTCTTCCCAACAGACGACGGGTGTATTCAAGGATATCACCAACCAAGGCGTTGCTACGCCTGATGTTCTTGATCTTCTCAGCTTCGAGGTTCCGGTCACATCGGCCGTGAATCCTCACTCTGATCTACTCCTCAGCTATTCGCCAAGCAAGTACGATAAGCCCCTTTCACCCGTCCGTCCGAGGCGTCACGCCAATAAGGCATCTCCTCTCAGGTTTGAGATTGATGTCGAGTCACCCTCCGATACCACTTCCGACCTTTTGCTCAGCTATTCGCCGAATAAGTACGATAAGCCCTTGTCGCCTGTTCGTTTGACCCGCAATACCAGACCGGCATCCACCCTGCGTTGAGCTATGTTCGAGATCCGCTTGAAGCCACAAAGCACATACATATTGGGATGTGGCTAGGTACCTCTGAATATGCTTTATTCTTCTCGACAGCATCTGGGCTGGCAAGGTCTTCCAAGGGTATTGCTGCTATGCCAAGACATACCCCGTTGCGCGAGGTAGATGAAAGAGATCGTGATTATGGATGGCAAGGGCACTTGTATCAGAAGATAGACGTCCCGTATATGCTGGTTTACGTGGGATCATCTTATCTTATACCATGCCAGTTATTATGCTTTGCTCATTTGTGTTTACCAGATCAGGGGGTGAAGATGTCGAAGGGGTTATAATTCGTTGGTGTTGCCCACTCAAGACTCGACAAGGACATGGAAATACCAAACAATTAGAAATCCGCATAGTGTTCCCAGCCAAAGTGTTGTGATCCAATTCGTTTAGTGGCGAGATTCACACGCTTGATCGAGCAATGACCAGACGGCACATTACATCATCCAGCTGCCACACAATCAATTGTTTCCCATTGTGGTTTTACCCTACACAAGTAGTCATGCCACTGCACGACCATTCAGTTGCCAATTTGCATCCGCTTTGACTCACTTGCCGGGTTTGTGCAACACTCCTTTCCCAAGTTCAAGGGAAAGCATCATATAAAAGCTGAAGGGACTCCCAAACTCTTTCCATCTGCAATCTTGAGCCAAATCGATTCACTCGCCACGACATCCTCTTCCACCCTGAACTCACTCCAATGCTATCATAGCCTTTGCCCAAAATACTTTCTTAGACTGTCAAACCTTCATTTTTCAACAATGGGTCGCAGCTACGACAAGGCGGCCAGGGCCACCAATATTGAACCTCCCTTGCAGTGGACCGACCAGACCACGCACAAGTATTGCGGCAAGCCAGACCGCGGTCGCATCGGCAAGCCAAACAAAGCCCAGAAGTGCGACGACTGTCAAGCCGTTAAGGCGCACAGGGCTAAGGAATTCCAAAAGGATACGGACATTCGCCGACAAGAGAAGTTGGACTGGACGCTCAGTTACGATTAATTGATCGCCGCTGATTCTGTCTCCGTGACACGGCTTCCCTGCTATTACCTTTTTTTCCTTTGCTTTTATTTTTCTCCTCCCGATTTAACCTTGCTACTATATCGCTGCGCCGCGGAGGGCAACAATCCCGCGACGACGGTTTACGTGATACAACACATAAGATGGATGGCGTTTTCTGTATCAATGATAGATATTGGTTGGTGGAAGTACTGTGTGTTCTGGCGATAAATGGGATTTTTGTTTTCAGGTCCTGAACCTTTTTCCGTTGGACTTAGATAGCCACAGGCTAATATTCTTATAGGTTTTCCAGATGGTGAACCAGACATGGGAAGATGTGAGGTAGAATGCGATCGGGCTCGAACGGGAGCAGTGGCAATGTTTATGCCTGGACTTATGATGCTTGTCGCTATTAGCTGGAAACAATGGATATTAGATAGATCAATCCTACCCGGCTGAAAGAAGGTTCTACCACTAGTAAGGGGCAGGAAAGCTGATAGCAACAGGGGAAACACTAGGCTCGCGTCTCCCTGTTTGATCCATAGATGAGTGTCAATAGCTACCTGTCCTGTCACACAGAGTGACCCATGGCAATGACAAAAAATACACTGGTGGTAACTGCTAAGTGTTCGAGGGGGTATAGATCATCTGGAAAGGATATGATGTCGCGATCAGGCTGTTTGACCGTGGGTTGTTTTTTGGAACCACATCCAAGCCACTACGATCTTGTGCACGCAAGGCGACTGTTACAAGAAAACGACAAACCGCATATCACTCAACACGTACCTTACGTCTTCTGATACTGTGCCGATAATGGTAAAATGGATGTGCGTTGATGATTTTGGGAGATTGAGGCCCAACATGTGCAAAAGGTGTGGCAGTTTTTGAAGCCCAATATAATAACACCTTCCAAGCCAATTCTCCAACAAGAAATCGGACCATATCAGTTCAATCGGGTATGGTGTAGCGGTAACATCGTTGACTCTCACTTCTCAGGAGTGACTGCTCTCTCAACAGCCCCGGGTTCGACTCCCGGTATTCGAGTCTCCAAATTTTTTTGATCTTTTTGCCTCCTCCTCAACGTACGGCCAACCCTCGGCGGGGCAAGTATACAGGAATGTCCCTAGTATCTACAACCCCCCCCTTCTGCAAGAACGCCGTTATATGCAAGAAATTTCCTGCCCGAATTATTTTCCCATACTGAAGCTGCAAACTGCAAAGTACAAGACTGGCAAGCTGGATTTGCAAGTACAGGGGTGTTCTTTTGCTGGGAGAAACCATTCTGAACCCCTTGACCAGGCAATTTACTCCACTTTTTTGGTTGCCGGTTCTCGATTACAATGGGCAGCGGCTTCCAGAGGGTCCGTGCACTCACCCCCCCTTCTGCAAGATCCCCTTTAAATGCAAGAGAAATGGCTGCCCGTATTCCTTGTAGATACTAGGGACATTCCTGTAGCATGCATGTGATAGCCCCACAGGGTTTTGAAGACCCTTTTTCTCTAAATATAGCAGCACTTCTCAACCGTAACCTTTGAGATACAAAACAACACCGTGGATTGATGCTGAGAATTCGAGAATGCCTTCAGACTCATGAGAGATTTTGGGTGACTTGTCATTGGCATGCCTACACCACACATTGGCCCCATGCTTCAAAAAGGTTATGAATGAATAAGCCCTCCATGATCGTTGATGACGTCAGAACTCGTCGCCGTGCGGTCAGGCTGATGAAAAGTGTTGTCAAACCCCCCTCCCCTCCTTCTCATTGCCCTACCTACCTACAAGTAGTGAAATCAAACAGCATCCGCTATTCTACTTTTCCCTCTCCTTTTTTTTCTTTCCTTTTGTCTTTCTCTGACCTCACATCCTCCAAGCAGCAACATAAAAGACTTCTATGCCATCTGGCAACACCAAGAAAGTCGTCAAGAAACCACCAGGTCAACAAGAGGAGAATCTCACCCACCAATCACCAACACCCATCATAACTCCCCCTCCTTCTTCCCAAAACCAACCACAAGTCCCCGAAATGGATCCCCAAAAGACAAGCAAGAAGGCCCAAGAAACCATGGGCGAAGCTACCGAGCAAGCCTCGAGCACAGCCTCGGGCATGACCGACACGCTCGCGGGCGCCGCCAAGCCCGTCACCTCGACGCTCGGCAACACGCTCGGCGGCGTGGCCAACACGGTCGGCGGCACCGTGGGCGCGGCGACTCGGGGGCTGGGGGAGACGGTCAGTAGCGCGGTTCCCGGCGGTATCGGAAAGCCCGTGGGGGATGTGGTGTCGAATATTGGGAGTGGAGTGGAGAGGGGCGCGAAGGAGGTGGGCAAGGGGGTGAAGGATGCCGGGGAGTTGAAGGGGAGTGAGCAGCAGTAAGAAGAAAGATAGATGGTGTAAAAGGAGGATTTGTGAGTGAGTGGAAAGGCCACGAAGAGAAGTGAGAAAGAAAAATCGGAAAACTGACAGAAAACAAGGAAAGGAAAACGTGAAAGGCATTGTTCAGTGGTTTGTTTGGGTGTATGATGCAGTGTTTGGGGAGGTTAAATTATCGGTTTTCATGGAAAAGAGGGTACATATGGCATTGAAGGGAAGTTTAAGTCATTGGTTTTGCATCACAATTGTTCAATTTTTTTCTTTCTGTTTACACATAACTCAACAATGGGATTTTGGGAGTGTACGAAAACGTTGTTCTCATTCTATTCCCCAACTGAATCACACGAAACATAACCCCAAAGCCTTGTGCTGTGACGCTTTGTATCATATCCATAACGGCTTATTTCTTCTTTTTACCACCCAAACTTCTCAACCGCTATCCTCACATCCAATTCTTCCCCAATCATATCAGCACAAGTATTCCTCACTGTCCTATTCAGTCCATCCGGCCCCGACACCACCACCCCGGACTCCAGCCCATCGCTCGCCGCATCCAAGATCCATCCCTTCACAATCCCCGCCACATCTGGCCGCCCCGCATCCTCCGTCGGCTCCGGAATGACCAAGTCTAGTCCCAGCGCAACTAACTCATCAAATTGCTCCTGCGGTATCCAATTCCTGTGTGACCTTGAGTGCGTCACCCAGAGCATATGCACTCTCTGCTTCTGCCGCCTGGTAGACGGCGATACCCTTCTTGCTACCTTGTCTTCTTCTTCTTCTGCTTCCTCTGCGTCTGACAACAACAGATCTTGATTCGTTTGCTGAAGCAAAGCCCATACCAAAGGAAACGTAACCGCAATCCCACTCCCTCCGGCCACCAGAATCGCACTTCCCGATGCCCGAAGCATGTCCAGCGCGTGCGAAGAGCCGTACGGCCCGTCTAGTTGCACGGACACCCGGGCATGGCCCGCTTGGGCGTAGCGGAGGAGGTCGGACGTGAAGCCGGAGTAGGAGCGGATGAGGAGATTAAACCATGCGTGGGTGGGTTGCTGTTGCTGTTGTTCGCCTGCCGCTGATGATGTGGAGTGAGGGTTAATAACGGGGGCGGCAGAGGCGATGGTGAATGGATGGGCTTGTAAAGCGTGGGAACCGCCTAGGGAGGGGACGGTGAGAAAGACGTGGTCTGTGGGGTGCCAGCCGTTGAGGATGGATTTGTTTGGGTGGAAGAAGGAAAATAAGGACCAGGGCGATTTCCACCAGGGTTGGTCTTGACTGGGTCGAGGACGGGGGAGGATGTCCCAATCGGCTGAGACCAGAAAGGTCTGGCCGTCTTCCAGCACTTGGATGTAGGCCGTGACGGTGGCTCGCTTAAAGCGCAGTCGCCAGACGAGCCGGTCGAGGACAAAGATGGCGAGTGACAAGCTGACATAGGGACGGCTGGTGTAGAAGTGGAACCAAAGAAACACGAGCGCGGCGATCTGGAGCACGACGTGTGAGGCCAGAAAGAGCTCGTACCATCGCTGTCGGAAACTTCCCAGGGAGGTGAAGTAGAGCAGCTCATACGACGTGAAAGTGCCCAGACCGCACAGGATAAGCGGGTGCGTAAAGTACGCCCATGCAGTCTTGGAAGCCAACATCCAGTCTTCAGCCAGGACGAACTGCCAGATGACCATGCTGACGAAATGCACCAGCGCCATGAAGCACATCATCTCGCCGACGCGGCGGTGGAAGATGTTGAGCGCTTCGTACGAGTAGCCGGTCAGTAAGCGCAAAGGCTGGTTCTTGGCGCTCAGGAGGTAGAGGAGGGGGAGGTTGACGATGAACATGAAGCCCATTTTGTCGCCAAAGACGAAGAAGTAGTCCCAGCGGAGCGGGATCAGGAGCATCTGAAAGAAGATGTTCAACAAGATCCAGAGCGCAATGAAGAGCGAGGTGCCGTTGCTGGGGAGGGTGCGATTGATAGTGGGGATGGGTGGCGGTTGACGGGCGAGCCAGGAGGAGACAGTGTTGCCGATGGTTGACTTGCGGTCGAGACGGGTTGAGTTGATGGTGAGGCTGGATGTGCGCCCTCGTAAAAGGGGCGATCGTTCGAGATCAACGAGGTTGTCTTTCCAGTTGCCAGTGGGCGTGGATGTGCCGGGGCTAGACCGGCTGGATGATGCTGGCGAAGAAGGCGGTTGGACCGTTGTTGTCGATGTCATTGTCGTCTTTTGGACTGAGGCTGACCTTCTACCCCTTATCCTAGCCAGCCACTTTCGTCGGTCAATTCTGGATTTACGCCAGTGCAAAACTGCGAAGACGGAGATGGTGAAGAGCACAGCGATGTTATAACAGCTGGCGATGAAGCGTGCGTCGAAAAGAGCCCGAACGAGCTTCAAGAGGTATTCAAGCTTTTCTGGAGGGATCAAGTCAAGGGGGTCGCCGCCCTCTTCACCATTGTTCTGGACATCTCGGACCGCCAACATGGACGATGAAGTAGAGGATACGGCGGATACGGCGAATGCGGCGTTGCGCAGAGCGTCCCGCGCCCATGCGCCCTTTTGCCCGTAATCCATGAGCCAAGAGGGTTGGTGGTTTGGAAAATGATGCAAGGCAACCCGGCCGCAGTGTCACCGATGCAGAAGACTCGGAGCTCCGATGAAAGAGTATGAAAGCGGGACGGGAACCTAAGTGGAGTGACAGGACGCCGAACGAGGGACAGAAGGAAGGCGAGGGCAAAGATGGGATCTTATCTGATCATCTGATAATTAGCGCACATGTTAGCGTGAGTCGACCTGTGGGGTGCTGTGGGGGCCCTGTAAGCGACCCGCTTCTTGGCGTGCGTTAACCGCTGCTCGAGCCCCGCTGACTTCCCCCGCTTTTCCAACACAATTACGGGCGCTAGACGCGCTGCATAAATAGGGGACCACACGATAAGGCTCAGATATGCCCGCAGTGCTGTGAGAAACAGAAACATCAGACTTTCGCTCTTCTCCATTCCAGACCTCGCTTCTCAATGAGCATAGCAAGCGGTGAGACCATCAGCATGATGATGGCAAAAACACCAAAACACCATCCGGAGCCAGCAGCATCTGCCAGGGGTTGTTGTGCGGCAATCGCAGCACCGGCTCCCAGGCATCGAACCAAGTTATACGATGCTTGGACGGTGGCGGAAGCATGGGGGTTGAGGTCTGTTAGGAGTGTTCCGCAGAGCTGTCCATTGGAAGTCAGCGGACAGATCCTGGGCAAACATTGCTCGAGAATGACTTACCGTGAATATGCTCGATGTTGCGGCGCCCGTCAGGAACTGAAGAATAAGTGGCACTACGAGGTGCTGATATCGTGAAAAGATCCATCAGCTTGTGCTCACTTTCGGACCCGTCCGTGTCATTACTTGGCTAACTCACCGCTCGCTCATTCAGGCCAACACCATAAGCAGCAGATCCCACCGACGAGACGAGAATGAGGGTGTGAATTCCCACAAATCGTGCCTTCTCTATGGGAAAGTCCGATATGTCCTCACCTCGGTGGTATTGTCCCTTCCTACCGGCCTCGGCAGAGTACTTTTTGATATTTCTGTCAAGAAATCTGCCTGGCAGCATATGTCAGAAATTGACCTCAACGCTCAGAAGGACGAATTTCACACCTACCAGTGGCATAAGATGCGAGTGCGCCTCCAACGCCCGATGGAAGATAGATCAGCCCAGCCTGGAGGTAATCCAAGTCGTACATATTGATGCACTGAGCGGCCAATGACGTTTGCAACGTCATCTTGACTGCGTATGTGATCGAGCCGATCAGAATCACGATCAGGTTACCCTTGAGAAACAGCATTGGGATACACGTGAAAGGGTTCGGAATATGGCATTTCCTTGCCTTCTTGATATCCGTCAACTGCGCGACTTGGGCTTCCACATGCCCGTCGTTATTTGCACGCCTTATTCTTCGCTTTCGGGACAGTGTCTCAAAGAGACTCTTGTGAATGCCTCTTGGCGGAATGCTACCGTTTCCGACAATCTTTCTCTGGGTCTCCGGCATCAGAAAGATAACAATGACCATGTAGGTTCCCGTCATGATGGCCAGAAACCAAAAGATCCATCGCCAGCCGAGCTTCTGGGCAAGTACACCGGCGACGACAGGGCCAAAACTAGGAGCAGCGTTGGTACTACAAGAATATATTCATCAGCCCTGGAACGGACATGTTAACAATGGGATTATGGTAACGAACAACAGTATCAGCGAGCCCACGTAGGAGCCGCGCTCCGCAACAGTCGTTATATCAGCAATGATTCCATACGCAGCGCCGTACGATCCTAGTTGTGTTAGTATCGTTGCTATCCCTATCTACCAATTGTTCACTCACCAGAAGCCCCAGCACTCTGAAGCATCCTCAACACGAACAATGCAGCATAGGAGTCCTGCAATGCGAGCCCAACATTGGACGCCGCAACCAGAATGAACATGAGGATGTATGCCGGTCTTCGTCCTCCTTGATCAGCTATATCCCCCATAAATGCCGGCGCGATACCGGCAACGATCAGATAAGAAGTGACCGTGAGGTTGACAAGTGAGACGGACACTCCAAGATCATTCGCCATTGGAACCAGCGCCGGGAAGTATATGTAGCTGCTCAGTGTGGAGAACATGGCCCCGAAGGAGGCAGTGTAGCTGATCCATTGCTTCTCGGCTGCAGTGAAGACGGAAAACGGTGGTGGTGGTGGTTCTGTTGAGGAAGGTGTTGCTGGAGGGCACGCTGTTGCACTTTCTCCCACATCTTTATCGATCAGGTTGGGAACCACAACGCTGGTTATTTCGGGGAGTTCGTTGACTGCGACTGAGAGTGTTTTGGTTTCGACTGTTGAGGCTGGTGACATTGTTGTCCAGTTGACTTTGTCTCCGGTAGTTCCAGTTGTCGCCGGGGTGTGTAAGGATTACCGTATCGAGGAGGCAGATGAGAAGAAGAACCGATCAAGGTGAGGACTTCCTTGCGGTCATGGTTCGTAACTTCAAGAGGGGTAGGTACCTACCTACCTAGCAAACCATTTCGTTGTGCAGTTTAGAACAGGCAAGGGCGACTCCCGCCACAACGGGAAGTTGGGTGATTGCCTGCCCGGTCACCGCGGAAGAGACCTGCAGGGTTCATCTTCAAGAAAGGAAAGAACAAAGCGAAGCAGGCACTGTGGTACCAGGTCCTACGAACCAACAACCCGGCATGGATTGAATCCAAACTGCCAACAGTCCCGGTCTTTAGATGTCTCCTCGATAGGGGATATATCCTCTAGCTGGTGGCATAAGAAGAGACGATGGCTCCTCCCAGCTCGCATGAGGGACGTTGTTCGTTGCTTATACGTGAAGACTAGGTAAGCACGCCTTGGTCCTTTGCACTTGATATTGTTTGGAGACATCGTCATTTCAGCTACCAAATCTACCCCATTGTTTTGGTAATCCTTCAACCATGGAGGAAAGGGAACCCTTGCAGGCCAATCCAATTGGGGACAATGTGCAGCTTGATCCGGTCGTCGTTGCCAGTGCGTTCACCCCCTCCCATACTATTGCCATCGTCAAACTTAACAGAATAATTGTTTTCAGACCTACCGCCGAACTCCAAGATACTTTCGGTAACGCCATCTGGGAAAAGCTTTTGGGCCAGGACAGTCAAGATCGTGGTTGAGCTGGCCGATGGTACTACCGCCCAGTTTTTCAAGAAGGTCAGTGGATTATCTTTCGATACTACAGGTCGCATTCGTTGACTGTTCACAGGGCGCCCGTAATTCTGTTGGGATGAATATGATGAAAGGCGCATGGGAAGCGGACAGCGCCTTATACAAATTTGTTCCCCACTACACTCCCCAGCCAGTCGGATGGGGAACATACGAGAATGATCCTGACACCAGCTTCTATTTGTGCGAGTTCACTGACATGAACGATGATCTTCCTAGTCCCCGAGAGTGGGCGAAAGCTGTCTCTTCCCTTCACCTGATCAGTATGGGAAAGTCACCCACCGGACAATTCGGCTTTCCGGTTGCCACTCATCTGGCCAACGTTCCCGTTAACAATGCCTGGAATGCCTCGTGGGAAGCGTTTTGGACCCAACAGATGAAGAGCCTGTTTGATCAAGAAGCGCGAGTCAATGGACCCGACGATGAGTTGGAGGCACTCAAGACAACATACATGTCCGAGGTCATTCCTCGATATTTGCGACCTCTCGAAACGGAGGGCAGGTCCATAACCCCTTGCCTTATCCACTCTGACCTCTGGCCAGGCAACATCAAACCGAAAGCCAACTCTTACGACGTGGAGCTGTGCATGTTTGATGCATGCGCCTACTGGGGCCACAATGAAGGTATATTTTACTCACAAACGGATGATTGATCTTAAACTGACTATATATACACAGCTGATCTGGGCATCTGCCGGAATCTGAGGTATAAGCTAGGTCAGCCGTGTGTTCAAGAATACCATAAAAGAGTCCCCATCTCCGAGCCTCAGGCGGACTTTGATGGTAGAAACGCCGTGTACGCCATGAAGTATCATGCCCTGCTGTCAACGATGTACAAGGACCGGAAGTTCAGACAGGTCCTGATCGAGGAGCTCAAGTCCTTAATCAACATGGCAGGTGCTGGCAGGTCGGACTCAGACGTTGCTTTACCTCCACGTTTGTGAACGCTTGGACGCAGGATGTTTCTATTCTCGTTTCGACAAGACGTATCTCTAGGTGGTGTTGAATCGTGTCAGGGTCCAAATGCCTGACCATCCCCTGAAGCTCGTTTGCTTGGGTGTCATTGGTGGCAAACGTCAGCCACACTCACGATTGCTTCTCAACCACTACAGACCCCTGTACCGCCGGCAATTCAGACTATGACGCACACCTGGCGCTTTACCAAGGGTCCATTCGAAGGGTCCAACCTTGGTCTCAGCGGTTGATCTTGAAACGACCAACCTGAAAGGTTGCTTTTGCTTGTCTGAAGTGGTCTGTATTACACACAACACGGGACATATCGTGGCATTGTTGGCGTCGTGTAATGGTTAGGCGTCAAAAAAGATGATCGCTCACAAGAATGACGATGCTGCTGGTCTTGCTCACGACATCACTAGCATCGAATATAATATCGACAGTATCCCAAGATGCGTTTGCTTCAATTTTTAGCCATCTTTGTTTAAGAGCTCAGTTAACCTCCGCGACGTAATCCATCCATTGAATGGAGATACTTAACAGAATCACTACTGATCTCTTATATCTGCCATCAACGACGTTTCCTTTGTCCACCCGTCTTTCCACCAGCAGAAAAGCCACACCAAACGCGCCATCATGCGACACCCTTCTACACTTGTGCCCATCATAGCTTCCATAGCAGCCTTCGTGCTAGTCTTACTGGCTCTCGTCGCCGGTTCTAGCAAAGGCTTCATGGAAAGCTACGACGTCGTCACAGTAAGGTAACCCTATGCATGTGTCTCTTCAGCGATCTAACACTTTATAGTTCAACACGTCAACCCTTGGGCAGAACCTTGTCTACAAGCAACTTAGCGGTGACCAGCCTGGCTCAGCGGCTGATGGAGTATGTGAAAAGCTGGGTTTTCTCAGCAAGGCCTGCGAAGACGCTACTGGTGCGTTCGGAGACGCAAAAGACGACCTGTTGAACGCCCTAGGCGACATTGAGAACGATATAGCGGACCAGCTAGCAGAGAAGCTGGGTATTCACGAGTTCTACTCTCTTCATGCGAGAACTATCTGCGAGGGCGAGTACAGCCCTAGCCCAACAGCTAAGGGCGCAGGCAGGACTGTCGCTAATTGCATCAAGACCTTCCCTGGCGGTAAGCACCTAGTCTCGCAGAGGCCAAGAGTCTGTCCACGCATCTACTAACAGATACACAGGCTTCAACGTATCCGACATCCTCGACAAGGAACTCCGCGTCGGCCCCTTTAAGCTCACGCTAGAAGACATTGGCTTCAACGACGAAGTCCAAAGCGCCCTCGACACGCTCAACCGAGTCATCAAAGCCTTCGCCATCATCCTCATCGTTGATGTTGTCCTCACCGGCCTCTCCATGCTCGCCTCCCTCCTTGCCATCTTCTTCCTCGGCAGCAAGGAACGGCCAACCCTCATCATCAATGCTGTGCTCTCGAGCATCGCCTTCATTCTCGTCCTCGTCACTGGTATCCTCGCTACAGTCGGATCCCGGATTGCCGCCTCGAAGGCGAACAAGTACGGAAAGGATATCGGCTTGAGCGCCAAAGCGGGAACCAAGTATACGATTCTCATTTGGGTCGCGGTTGGGTTTTCATTGCTCACAGTTGTGGGGTGGGTGTTCCAGGCATTGAGGTATAGGAATGGGAAGACGATGGGTCACCGACACCATGGGGCGAGAAATAAGGAGGGGTATAGGGACTCGGAGGAGAGTGCCGTGGCTCATTTAGATAGGCCGGTTTGGAATGATAGGGGTATGAGGGAGGTGCAGTTTGCGAGGACGAGGTAGAGCAGGAGAGGATCAGCTAGGCTTGGCTGTTTCTATTGCAAACGAGTTGAGAGGTTTCAGTTGATGAAGTTTGTCATTCATGCGATGGTACACATACACTGGAGGATTATACCCACTGACCTTGGCAGGAGATTTGCTTCTATCATTTAATTCTTAATCTAGTATTCAGCGGCACTGCTGTTTAACAGAGATTTTCTCAAAAAAAAAAAAAGGATTGGCAAAAGCGCGGTCAAGTAAATAATGACATAATGGAAGGAGCCAGCCACAATTCACACCGCGACACAGACCCCTCATACCCTCTAAAGCTCACTCTTCACTCCTTTACCTTTCTGCCCCTCCTGCCCCCTCCTGCCTCTCTTTCTTCTCACTCTTCTCTGCTCTTGCCTTCCTCACCTCCTAAGCCCAATACTCTCCCGGCTCCTTACCCAACTCCATTGCCATCAAATCCGCCACCAGTACTGCAAAGTCCTTTGCCTTTCATTTCTCGCTTTTACCCCACACGTGGCATAAATTAACGCCGCCTTTGTGTAGACATATCCGATATACGTTTCAAGCCTCTCTTCCTTATACTACTTTACCAACCGCTCGCCCATTTCTGTGGTTAGATTGCCGCCGCCCATGGCCTCGTCGAGCTCCTCTTCTAGGTCGTTGATGGTCTGAATCCGCGCGTCAGATGCAACTGTCTCTGAGGAAGGGAGAGTAGAGAGAGCAAGTGCAGTTGGAGTCTCATTCGGACAAGCGCTCTCGAGCCTGTACCATTGGCATAACGTGTCTGTAAGCAGTTCCCGTCCCAAAGCTAAATATATATCACCATTCCGTTCTAGAACCTCGATGTCATTTTGAGATGGCCATTGTACCTTTCATCATTATCCACTGACTCTTGAACTTTTGGTGCCTGATCAGGATGAAGTAAACAAAAAGGAACCACATTCATGTACCCTAGGGGCAGGTACCCATTACCTAACTATGAGATGTTTTTATTGGGGATTTGAGATGTCACTGCCAGTTTTGAGCGGCCAAGCTAGTATAAAATGGGAACCAACTTAGGTGAAAAAGAGGAGTGCATACCTACCTAGAGGTAAGTAGGGAAGTTCACCCTACGGCTTAAGGAGCTCTTCCCAATGCATTCCATGTCCTCCAAACCAGAACTATTCAACCCACGCCTCATCCTCCCCATTAGCAAACTCCCTCACCGTCCCCAACACCGTCCCCGCCGCCGCCGACGACACAGGTACCGAAGTCAAAGCCAACGAGCCGGTCGTCATACCCGGACAGGTACTCATCCCCCTACTCCGGCTCCTGCCCTCCTTCCTCTCCACCCTCGCCCTCTCATGCCTCCACTTCACACCACCAGGCACCGGCTCCCCACTCCGCCAACAATTCGCCTCCAAGTACTTGGTCAACGAAAAGCACAACTCACACTTATTCTCATCCGGTCTCTCACAGTGTTCGCAGCAGTTATACCCAATCACTTTTCTCTTCACATGGCTATCCTGCGCCGACGGGTGTTCTTTGAGCAGGTTTAGCTCCCAGTTCCCGCACTGGCAGCAAGACAGGAACCAGTCGTCGAATCTGCCCGGTAGCAAGTTAAACCCTTCCAAAGTCTCGACCATGACGCGTTTGCTGTTGTACAGAACGGTGTCACGCGGCGCGAGGTAGCCGCACCCCAAGTCGCAGAGTTCGAGGGGGACTTCTCCTCCAGAGTTGTTGTTGTTGTTGTTGTTGTTGTTGTTGTTGTTGTTGTTGTTGTTGTTGTTGTTGTTGTTGTTGTTGTTGTTGTTGTTGTTGTTGTTGTTGTTGTTGTTGTTGTTGTTGTTGTTGTTGTTGTTGTTGTTGTTGTTGTTGTTGTTGTTGTTGTTGTTGTTGTTGTTGTTGTTGTTGTTGCTCCTACAATTCATACTAGTGCTGTTATTTCTGGGCTCGACGACAGCAAAGGGTGGTTCAAGACGCAAGTGAAGTGGTCGCTCGACCCAGTGTGTCTTGGATTTGAAGTAAGGGCAGTCGTGGTACCAGTAGGCTCCCTGGACGTCTTCGGAGCGCGGGGGAAGCGGTCGCAGGGGACCGCGGATGCCGGCCTTCCACCGGTGGTTGGAGATGAGAGCCGCGACGCGGAGTTGGGGGCGTTCTTCAGGGTCTTCATGGGCTGGAGGCTGGGGAGCGGGACCGAGCTTGGCGGCGCGGAGGAAGGGGTTGTCGGGGATGATGAGCTCGGTCGAGGGGAGGGCGTAGTTGGGGGTTATGGCCATGTTGATGAAGCTGACGAAGCTGGTGAAGCTGGTGGGTGGTGATAGTGACGGTGACGTTGACAGTGGAAAGGTGGTGAAGATGACTGGGAATGGGCGTCAGAACCTCAAAGGATGGGGCCTTCGGGTATGGCGCTCGTGATTAGAGCCATGGTGTTCTCCCTTTGGAAGTGAAAATTCCGTGTTGTAGGTCAACTTGAACAAAAGGGGCGGGTGCATCCGGTAGGGCATATGAACTCCTATCAGAATTACTTTTGGCCTGCTACCTACGGACAAGAACAGGCGTTGGATTAACCGGCCGGTTGCTCCTAGTTACCCGAAACGTGGTATAGGGGTCATAAAAATCACATATAGCCACAGACGAGAAGCGACAAGCGTTGGGTAACCGTGACTGTACGCCTACTTTTATCTCGGCAATCCAGTAAAGAGAGGCGCGGACGTGCTACCGACGGTTCTCCGTTGGACTTTAATATTTGTAGACCATACCATCGGGTCGCACCGACGGAACCCAAGTCACCCTTCGGTTCCCTTACTGCCGAGCTCTGTGTCACCCTAGCACAACATCACACATAAAGTTCCAGGCATGATACTGGCACTTATATAGAACTAGATGTCTGCATCTCCAATAAGCTTGTCCAGGAATGGATGAACAAGTGACACGCGAGAGAGTGTTTAACGTGCGCCTAGACAGGTATCTGTGTTTTTGTCACGTTGCTCTGTTTTTCAGCTGGAGTTGTTTGTTTTCCTTTGCCTCTAGTCAGCCATTCTCCGTCTGACCCACGACAGTTGCTTTTGCCGGAAACAACTGCAAACGGATACCCGAAAACCGCTTCGTGGCCGATCTTGTCATACAATGGAAGAATCAGTTGTGTTATGTACCCTAAGCTACCTATCTATTCAGTTAACGAGAGCAGAAATTCAATGCTTGCCAGATATGTACGCCCAATCGCCCCATTAGATGCCACACCTCCATCGGCTCACTGTCCGAGAGCATCCACATCCTCCGAAAATCCAGTCACCATGGTATATCCAAACTTGGCCGCCTCCACACAACGCTCCGCCAATTCCTTATGTCCCAAAGCAGCATATGCCTCCGCCAACCTTCTCAACGAAGCCACCACATGGACGGCCATCAAGCTCACCTCACCGCTCCTCGTATAGATCTCCCTCGGATCCCAACCCACAGTCAACTTCGCCGGATCCTCATCTCTCGGCGCCGCGTTAAACCCAAAGTTTCTCAACACCTTCAACGAATACTTCACCACCTTCCCCCACTGTTTCTTGGCCCTGTGTGCATCCACCAGCCAATTACACGGATAAACCAGCGTCAACCTCGGGAGGCTCTCATACACCTCAGTCTCATGCAGGTCCTCCAATTGCCTCATCATCTTATCCACCGTCCTGATCGTCGCGTCGGGTACAATCGTCGCCCCCTTGCCAGTACTCGGCTTCTTGTCTAGGAACTTCTCCAGCGCCAGCACCGCCTCCTTCCTCTTCTTCAACCTTTCCTTTGACGACTTCCTCTCCCCTTCACATAACCCACACCGACACTCGAAACCCCACCCTTCCTCAAACTCCTTGTTACGCACATCCACCTGCGTCTTGACGGGTACATACTGCTGGAACAGCTCGTCGCCCTCTTGCACGTCGCGCGTAGCGCGGCAGATCAGCATGTCACCGACAAACGAGCGCATGGTGTTGGGCACGCAGCTGTGGTTCATCAGACTGGAATGCGCCCACAGCCCCTTGGCCATGCACACCGAGTTGTAAGTGGGCTTGGTGTCGTCGTACGTGGACAGAGGGGAGGAGAAGCAGTTCTTGGTGCGGATGCCTTCGACCACGAAGACATCTACTACGGGGACGCCATCCACCATACTGCCCTCGGCACCGGTTCGCTCGTAGGGAAGTTGGCCGGGGCAGAGCTTGAGCATGGTATCGGCCAGCGAAGGGTTATCGCAGAGTTGCCGGACCATGAGCGAGTACAGCGCCGCGGAGGCGCGGGCGGGGTCGTACTGGTTGGGCATCAGCGTGGCCTTTTCGACATAGACCAAGTCGCCGGCTTTGAGGTGACGAGTGGCGAAGAGGCCGCGGCCGTGGAAGCCCGAATCGGCAACGCGCGTGTTGCGGAGAAAGGACCCAGCGTCGATGTGCACGGATGTCGGGGAAAGGGAGGCGTGCATGGCTGCGAAGTCGTAGTTACCAGTTTCTTCTTCTTCCACGCGGGCTAGCACCCGCTCGAATTCTTTCTGCACGTTGGCGGTGCCCTTGCCGTTTAGCTTGAGGGCTTCTTCAAAGTACGACTTGCTGGTGGCGTACTCGCAGAGACCGTAGGCGGCCCGGCCGGCGTTGTAGTAGGCTTTCCAGTCGGTGGAAGCGCCGATGCGGGAGGCGAGGGCGTCGACTTTTGCGGCGTCGTAGCGGCCGAGGAGGAGGTTGACGCCCGCGCGCTTGGTGTAAACGGGGGCTTTGGCAGAGTGGTCTTCTAGTCCTTCTAGTGCTTCCGTGTAGCTATTTCAGGGTGCATATCGTAAGTTAAAGGACTTGACATCACCGCTAACGGTCTGGCAACTCACCAAAAGACGGCCGTAGGGAAATCCCGTTGCAAGAAGGCTTGATCTCCTGCCGTCGTCCATTCCCCCGCTGACTTCAGTAGCGGCCCGAGCCTTAACGGTTCTGGAATGATAGAATCTATAAAACGGAGCAGAATGACATCTGACGGGTGATCAACACAGATCATGAAGTCGTTTTCCGCGCCATTTTGGACATAGTAAGGCTCCTTGACGGCAACGATACAGCCCTCGGGAACCCCCGACAGGATGGCTGAGTCGCCTTGGTTGTAGATGGCGAGCTTGTCGACATTGCCCCAATGGTCCTCGACAATACTGACAGCACCGGCGCCAAGGTAGGGTGGGCTGACTACTTTGACGATGAGCCCCTTGCCACGGTGATGTGTTTCCACGCTGAGGTCACTTAGTGGGATCTGGAGCTGGTGTTAGCCGGATTTTATCGATCACATGATATCTATTTCTTATTATAGAAAAAGATGAAAACAAAAACAAAATGAAGATTCGTGTGTGACAACATACGATCTCGAGATCTCTGATAGACTTTTCAGAAGCAGGATATGCTTCTTCTAGGTTTGGCTGCTTTACTGGCCTGGGGCCATTGGGAGTTTGGGTAGCGTTTTGCTGCTTGATGTGTTCCGCATGTGTCTTGAAAAGCTGCTCCTTCGTGAGCTTCTTGGTTGGGATTGTCCCTGCGAGTGAACTCTTCTGAGGAGCGGAACTGATGGTCTTTTGCTTGGCGGAGACAGCCATCTTGAACAGGGATTAGGGGAAGGGTGAAAACAATGGAGGTATATAAGCAGATAAAGAGGTTTGATGTTTCAATCAAGTCTACCTACGATATCAGGAAATATGAAGCTTATAAATGTGATTAACAACTGTCCGTTCGTGGTCATGTACTCAAACTGTCGTCGAATGGCTCCTGAATTCGTGAATAGGTGGCATACTCGGAAGGCAAGCAGCCGCGTATACCGTATTCGACTTAGCGGGATTATGCATATTAGCCGGGGGTCCGGTGCCTTTGTGGAGATGTCAGATGTGGTGTTGCCGGTCCGGGGTAGGGGCCGAATACGACGGTAATCGAAGTGCTTGGCCGCAGTAGATACAGCTGGTCATGGAATTGTCGGGATAAGATCCGCTGTAGCTAACGATGAGGGGAGCGGTCGTAACACGGTGGTGCGACTACGACTTGCTCGAGAACGGGGTCGTGATCATGATGAACGGGGCGGTTCACAGGTGGCAGCGTGTTGAACTGTTACGAGGATGATTGATCAGATATATGAACCAACCCTGCTGATGTTACTTGTCATCAACCGTATTTCGGAAAGCACCCGAACTGGCAAATCTTCTTGTGGTCATATTCGCCAATACATGACGCTGTCATGCGGCGCTGTTTACGAAGGAATCACTCTCCGTCTTCTTTGCTTCCTCAGCCTCCTGTTTCACCCTTACCTCCGCTTGCCTCTTGTCCCTCTTAATCTGTTATTGTTTCATGAGGGACTCCCTGTGTCTGTAATCGTCTTGAGATCGTAGACACAGCTTCAACCAGCCCTTGGGCTCGGCTACCTCCCAGACCCGCGTGGGCATCCTTACCACTGTCTCCCTGTACAAGCAATCCGTCTCAAATCGCCAGCTGCAAAGGACTGCACGGAGCATGCCGCCTTCCTTGCCGCAGAGGAGAGCTACAGTCGGTGGCCTCTCTGCCGCAAAGATAGTGACCGTAAGCTCGCCCATATCAACAAGTGTGAAGAGCTGGTGTCTGTCTGACGGCATCAGCTTCTTGGCTTTGAGATCATCAAGGGCAGAGTCTGGGTTGTCGATCCACAAAGGTTCCGTGCCTCGCCTCTCGTAGTTCTCCCGATGTTCTCTGCTGAATGGAGTAGCGGACGGCGCATAAGTAAGTCGGCCCTCCGCATTTCCAAAGACGATCTTTTCCAGTTGCGCTATAGGCATGACTCCTTCGAATCCCACCAAGTTTGGGGTGCTCTTCAGCACGGTACCGCCAAAGAGCCGTCGGACCGAAAATGGTGAAGGGGCAGAGAGCAACAGGCCCACGAAGAGGAAGCCAGCAACAACCCAACCGACATCTGACTTGCCATCGGCGGCTAGGTCAACAAAGCCAGCGAAGTATGGAATGTAGGCCAGTGACATTTCGATACCAAACATTAACCACCAAATGCCGAACGCCAGGAAGAATACCGCGAGCATCTTTCCCAATCCCACATCGCGTTGAACAGTCGCTCGGGTGAAGTCCTTCCATCGGATGTGGATTGCACGGCAAGAGTCCAGGATAACAGTCTCGTCCTCGTGCGCCACACCCACCACTTGACATTGTGGTGTGATGTGGTGGAGGAAGGTTCCATACTCATCACGTTCAGACAGAGTCTCGAAAATGTCTTTGTTTGACGGCTTTGGAAGTAAGCAAAGCATCCTCTCGACCAGCTCATCACTATCATTGCCAAGCGAGAGGCGAGCAAGGTTTTGGAACACAGTTGTCTCTTTATGGCGCTCGATCCGGTAGTGAAGAAAGCCCATGACGGCGTAGGCAAGATCTGAGCCGGTAAACTCCGCGCGTTTCTTGGTACACAGCGCTGTAATCGTCGCTGGAAGCAGCTCCAGGCGAGAGAGTGTCAGCACGTTGGCATAGTGTTCTGCCAATATACGAACAGCCTCTTTGTCGTCCGTATATTCGCTCTCGTGTACACGCCAGAAAGAGGCTGTCATTTCAATCTTTCCAATGTTTTTGGTGACAAGTTGACCCTCTGCATCCCGAAAGCAGTAAGTTATGTGATCTCCAGGGGCGAGCAGACCCTCCATCAGCGTCCACATGCGGCTGCCCCAGTCAAGACGCTGTGTCGTTCCATCCTTGTCCATCATGAGGCACACCTTGGCCGATCCTCGGACAGTGTCACAAAGTGTGTAGACATCGTAATCGGTCTCAGCTGGCGAATCCCCACTAACAAGCTCACGGTCCATCCAGTAGGCGTCAAAGCGCTCGTGCTCGGCAATGCTCCGCGCCAGTTCATGAGCTTTCTCTGCACCATCTGCGTCTGGGAACATGTTCCACATGTAGCTGATGAATATATATCGCCGCGTAGAATTTTCGAAGCTATCGCCCTCAATAGTCTTCCATTCGCCGTTCACTTTGGCATACAACAGCCGGGGCCGTGGCGCACGCTTTGCAACACTAAGTGACTTTTTGTAGCCCTCACTATGTTTCTCGAGAGCAGCAGGAGACATGTCCAGCTCGTTGACAGCGTACTTGGGCCATTCCCAGTAGTACCCGGGGTAGTCAGTATATGTGTCGGTCACCTTATCGTCTTCATCGTATTTACCAAGGAAAGGAAGGGCAAGCAAAATCTGCACAGGAATGGCGACGACAAATAGACGGCAGGTCCCCTTTGTCTTTGACCAAAACCCTTGGGTTTGAAAGGGAGACAATGCCCATTCAGACATCGCCAGGACAAGAGGCACGCTGCCCCTGACCTTGGTCCTGATCCAGTCGCCTCTGTCCAAGCGGGTCTTGATGACATGATCAGTTGCCTGGACTATCAGTCTTCGAGGAGTAGAGCGGGTTGGACTTAGGTAAACGGCCACGTCCAGGAACTTGCGAGTGCGTTGGTGAAACTGGTTGAGGTAGGTGAGCTTGCCATCAACCTTGTGTACCTTTCCAAGGTCATCAATATCCTCGGCCTCGGCGGTTCCAATACGATACACGACCTTGCTCTCGCCGGTAGGCCCAGCATCGCTGTCACTGTCCTGGTTATTCATCCGTTTGGTGGGTAAATAGACCCGACGGAAACCCCTGTGCCCTGAATTGCCGCTGAACTTGTCTTTCAGATTGTCTTGGAACTTTTGCATATAATCCTTGGACCGAGGCCAGAATCGTTTCCACTTCTGCACGTCGTTCTTCGCGCCTGGCTGGGGAACAGCTTGTGGCGAAGGCATGTGCCGAGTAGTGACCTCCTCTGATGAGAGAAGGGGTGGTTGCTTGAACTGCAGATCTGGGCTGTGCACCTCTTGAATTGGGTCGGGCGCCGGATGTTGGTTGTGGGCGGGCGTGTACTGGGAATAGGCGGCAAGATTAGAAGTCGACAATTGTTGTTGCCAGTAGAAGTTGACTGCAGTGGGATCGGCCGTCCAACCAGGCTGCTGTAGTAGTTGCGGTACATAGTAGACTTGCTGATCGTCCACCGACGAATTTCCCACTTGACTCGCCTGCTGTGCATAGTAATACTGCTGTTGCGAGATGACACTGGCAGGGTCGGTTACCAAGCCATATTGTTGTGACGGATAGTACAAAGCTTGCGTGGGTTCTGTAGCATTGCCAACCGTAGCCGGCCGCGATAACGGTTGAGGAGGTTGGAAGACATGCCCCTGATTGTTGGTGTCCTGAGAGTCGCTGCCGGCATCGGCTGGTGGCATCTGCTGGGAGTGAGCATGCGAAGAATCGGCCATCCTGACTAGTAGTCGGTCAGTGGAAAGGAAGAAAATCAAGACGTCAAGGAAGGACGGTTTAGAGTCAGCGGCAAAGGAAAATAGTATCCAAGACCAGAGGACTTTCGGAACCCATAATTTATAAGTCTCGCCGGCGCTCTTGTTGGGAGCAGCCTGGCAAAGCGTCTATGCAACCATTCCCCACATGGTGTTGGCTGATCCGTAAGATTATAGTGGCAGCCTAGTATAGAGCTGACGCCCGTATCACCACATTCCTTAGCCTGATTCGGTGTGCCAGTGATACACACGCAGTGGTGGCATGCACACGTCAAGTGCTACTGGACAAGGCGACAAATCATGAGTCTTTGCGGTTGTCCATGCTTGTACGTCAAGTCGCCCACCGGTCAGACAATGCGACACAACCTGGCGGGCCTGGTAACGCAAGACGATGGACAGGGATACAGGACGTCAATCAATTTCAGCTTGGTGAAATCTGCACACTTGTAGTATACACTACGATCAGGGAAAGGATGTGGTGAGGCAGCGAAGTGCAGCAGCGAGATCTACTGCTCCCGACACCCTGAAAGGCATCCCTAGGTATCAGGTGCTCTTGGCAGGTCGTCTCATGATGGTGCTGCGGAAGCATCCCTTGGCGGGAGGCCCAGCCAGCTCGAGCGCCGTATGTTCTCCCCAGTCCTGACCTTGGCGCTTTGAGGCGCCGAACAAATCGAAGATGGGAAGGTCGAAAACGTCGATGTCCTCGAAGCCAAATTGCTTGTAGAGATTGTAAGCAGTGGGTGATGACTCGAGAAACAGTGGCAGACCCAGTTCGTCAGCCAGGGTGGTACCCCAGTGTAGGAGGGCCTTTCCGGCCCCCAGCCTTTGGCGATTCGTCTGACAGACAAGAGTGCTAAGAACTGTGACAGGTCGTGGAGTTAGAAAAGCGGCCACCGAAAAGGGCATTGTGGTATCTGTGCCAAACTTACCAAGCCCAGGGTCACCCTTCATGTGCTCTCGGCGCTTCCTGTGCAATCCGCCGATGAACTCGTTGAAAACCCGCACATCGCAGTCTTCTCCCAGCTGCTCCTGTGTCCTTGGTACCTCTTGGACATTCCACTCTTCTTCAGCACGCGGATTCCTGAACAGGCACCAGTCGGAAAAGGCAACAATCTCGCAAGGACCATCAGAACCCTCTGGCAGCAACTCTGGCACCACCATGAACGTCTCTCCTTCGCTGGGAGGAATGGGCAAGAAGAGTCTGGCAGCAGACTTGCTTCTCGACGCATCCGATACACCGTTGGGATACATCAGCTGCTGCATCGGGTTGGCGGAAAAGGCGTCATTCAGGATGTTCGTGATGGCCTCGGCATCGGCGGGCACGGCCTCGCGAACGCGGATGCGGGGGTTGAGAGCGACTGTCATGGTGGCGTGGCGTTGAAGATAGCTAACGTTGTCCTTTGAACCTCAGGGTGTAGTGGTGAGGTCCAATTTATAGCTGAGTTTGACGAGGCCAAGACGGGCGACGAGGCGTATAAACACGGAACCGGGCCATGATGTAATCAATGGCGCGGCCGGCGTCTTGACCTTTGGCTGATTCCTGTCTTTTCCGCTCGGTAGTGGAGATGGCTTATGCGCCAGTGAGTCAACGGCCAGCAGGAAATGTTGCCTGGAAATGCGACCCTGGTGAACGTCATCGGATGGCTGGATGAGTGAAGAATGGGTGGGATAAGATCAATGTTTTCCTTCTCGATGAGGTGCTCTCTGAGCTTCGTGGTGGTCAGCTGGTGTTAGGATTCGTAGTCCATCGTACGTGATTTGTGCCGCCGTGAGATACTGCCATCTGGAGCGTACGTGTCATCCGCGAATGTTGCCGCATGAGATGACGGGGATTTGGCAATTAATGGACGGCGTGGAAGAAGGAGGAGGAGAAAGAAGAGTTGGAAGAGGAAAGGGTACAAAAGGGACCCAACGGGAGCTTGTACCTCTACTAGAGAAAGGTAATTCCATTTCCACAGTGTCCGTCTGTGGAACTGGGTGTTGGTTCTCAGGGTACTGTCTACTATGTCTCGGGCAGCTTCCGGTTATCTTCCTTATCTTACTGCGCTAATGGTGGGTACCTAAAGCGGGGAGTCCCGTCCCGCCCACGAGCACTGAGTGGTACCTGGACCTTGATCTCCAGGGCAGATTGGCAGACGCGACGGACTTCTCATCAACCCCGCGATGCGCAGGACATCTTGTTTCGAGGAAAAGACTGGACGATTCTGACGAGGCGTGTAACCAACATCGTACGACACATCATTCGTCGGATTAATTGGGCTTGGGACTCGACTGTTCGTTCTCTGCCGGTCCCTCCTCGACTTTGGACATCCAAAGGACAGCTTCCTTCCTTCCTTCCCTTTCCATCTGAGCTGTCCATATCCCATCACTCATCACAAGAGGACTTTGCTTCTCTTATCTCTTTCCAATGGCCGGCCCCAGATCAACATCATCATCATCAACGACAACAATCCTTCTCTCGATCCCCTTCTTGATTGTCGCCCTCTTGCTCACTCGCGCCCCAACATTCACCATGACATCCGTTGCACCTACAAAAGCCTGGGCTGACGAGCCCATCAAGCTCATCACCACACCGCAGTACGCGACCAAGAAGACGGACATCTTCACCTCGGGTGCCACCCACATGGCCCTGCTGCACAACTCCATCTTCCGCGGCTACAACTCCATCTACCAGCAGGCTGCTCATGTTGCCGACCAGGACAAGGCCGACTTCGTTGGTTACTGCTTGACCTGGTACCGCTTCGTCAAGTCTCACCATGACGACGAAGAGCAGTCGCTGTTCCCCAAGATCGAGGACCTCTTGCAGGACAAGACTGTTTTCGAGGAGACCCACAAGGAGCATGGTGAGAAAGAAGCCAGGGACCTCAGATTACTGATTTTTGATCACTAACTTTTCATCGCAGAGGCATTCCTGCCCGGTCTTGCCGAATTCGAAAAGTACCTTGGCGGTCTCAAAAGCCCCAACGACTTCTCGGGCGACGAGCTGCTTCGCATCATGGGTACCTTCCAAGACTCCTTTTCCGACCACTTCCACAGCGAAATCTCTACCATTTCCAAGCTCTCCGAGCACGCCAACGCCCCTAAGGAGGGAACTCCCGAGCATACAGCAGCCGTCACCACCTTCAAGACATGGGGCAAAGCGACTGTGACAAAGGCCGGCGTGACGGACTGCGTACCCTTCTTCCTTCTCAACCTTGACCGCACGGTTGAGGACGGCATGTGGGCAAACTGGCCACCCATGCCTGCTCCCATCAAGTGGGGTTTAGTCAACATTGCCGGTGCTCTGCACTCGGGCTGGTGGAAGTTTTCTTCTTGTGATGCTGCTGGTCAGCCCAAGGAGTTGTGGGCTTTGCGTAATGTTGAAAAGTTGTGATTGAGTGCAATCCCATTGATTGTGTGAGCAGAGAGGATAACGATGAGATTCTATTAGGAATTTGGATGAATGATACTATATCTATGAGAACCACCAAGTCTATAGGTCCACCAAGTCTATCGGTCTAGTGGGAGCCGACATCGCTCTAATGCAAACAAAAGTGCAAGACGAGAAACTTGCTCGCTCAACGGGCTCAACTTGCGCGTGGGCGTTTTTCGAACAACAATCGCCGTCGACCATAACATGCTCCTCGTCCACACCGACTCAGCTCAAGCTGTCTCCAGTGCATCAGGATATTCAACCACCGGCTTCGGCTTAGCAGGCCAAACCAACCAAAGCACGACAACCACCAACTTCAATCCCGACGCCATCCATAAAGCGCCCGCGACGCCAAACGCCGTATGTGCAAAAAAGCCTCCAAAAAGCGCCCCCAAGAACAGAAACACGGGCGCGCCCACCCTTTGGTTCCTCTCGCGATTATGCAATTTGAACAGGTCCGCGTCCGAAAACAAATCGCAGTAAATACTCGTCAATACCACGCTCGTCAGCGCATTGTATCTCAACACTCTACTCGTCACGGCCTGCCCGCCGCTCTGAAACGCCAACAGCGCAATCGGGAGCAAAACATGCCACTCAACATCCTCGCTATAGTGCGGCTTGCCCGTCATGGTAACAACCGCCGCCGCCGCCATGGTAAATGCAGACTGTGCCGTGAACGACACGCAGAGCACCCACCGGCGTTTTGGGGCCCAGAGGCGGTGGAACCGACTAAACAAGAACGAGCCAAGGCAAAAGGCAGCAAGGGAAGTGACGGATTTGATCAAGCGTGCGGATTCGTTAGGAGCAGCCAGGCCGAGACCGGCATAGACTGTGTTGCCGGTTTGCATGGAGACGAAGGAGCCCCAAATGGAGATGGAGGAGGAGTCCAGCAGGCCCGTGATTAGGTAGCAGATTATGAGAATCACGTCGGCGTAGCTGCGATCGATGTCGGTGGTCAGGTGGCGGCGCCATCGCGATGACGGGGGGGCCGTCCCTAGTGAGACTTTGGGAAAGCCTGGCAGGTCGGGGGTCCTGGTGCCTGTTGGCATCTGGTCGCTTGGGTGTAGCAGCGGTTCGATTTCAGAGTTGTTGAGGATGGTGGTATTGTGAGGGCCATTGGTGTTGTTGTTGATGGTGCCATAGCAAGACGAGTTCACGGTTGGAGGATACATTTTTGCCGGGTATTTTTACCCGTCGTGGGGATTGAGGTGGTGACAACAATGAATGAGTCAGAATTGGCGTCAAATAACGCAATCGATTAGGGCGATTATGGGATAGCTGTACGTAAAAAGCCAAGGCTTGTTTTGTTTTAGTGCCGTCTTTTTGGTCGTTTGGTGAGGTCCACGATGATGGAAATCCGGCACGGGCCGTGGATGAGTGTCGATGATCTTGATTTATTCTGGAAAACAATCGAGGAACGGGAAAGGCCAAAAACAACGAACGGGACGGCCGGGAGAAATTCACCGCATCTTCATCCCGTCCAATCTCGTTTCCGTTCGGAACGTCCCGGGATCGGATGGATGAGACGGAATGGCACATTGTAACATTGCGGAAACACACGCTGCTTCCATGTATACATCCAATTTGGTTTCTTCATTTGTTAGCGCGGGACTTCACTACGCAGTCTTTGCAACTCTGTCGCAGGAACCACGATAACAGATCAACCAACTCACAGCACGTCGACAGGGCACACGCGACCTGGAGCTCAGGTAACGTCAACGCCGAAGCAGCCCCGAAGGTCATGGGCCACTGACAGCCCCGGCTGAGCGTGACCGAGGTCGGTGGTGATGTGGAATGTAACAAACCCCTCCGATGCTCTAGAACGGGCATAACTGAACAACCTCTTCTTGGCAGGTGGTACGTACTTGGCAACGATGCCCGACGCTAATGGCGCAGTGGTACGTCTTCTTTTCTGCTTCTAGACCGGAGCTAGTAGACCGTCTCCCATCCTCCTCCTTCTCACCACCATGCCAGGCGCTTATCTATGTACACTAGATTCACCGCTGCAGGACGTCACATGCCCTACGGGAGGGGGAAGCAGACGTTAAAAATAACAACAACAACAACGATGACGACGACGACGACGACAACAACCACTACCGCTCCAGCCTTCTACTCGAGGGTGAGGGTGGAAGAGCCCTGGCGACCAGAGCCGGAAGGCACGCACCACCCTCGAGATCGAAAACAGCCATCGAGGCGACCATCCGGATTACAGGTTGCTGTTACACTGCCGCGAGCTGACACATATCGCAGGCCTAACCCCTCAGAAACCTTCCGGGACTTCTCCGAGATGGTGTCTGCGGGTGTACAGACGAAGCGTACATTGACATCAGGATACACTGTAGAGTCAATGACGCTGAGTGATGCTGCGATGTGTAAGCGAACCAGGATCATGCTGACCATGAGCAGACTGAACGCCAGCTCGAGGATAAAAGGCGTCGATGGCCAGCGTGTCTGGTCCCAGATTCATCAGTAGATCAGTCTCATCACAGTTCTCCAGAAGCAGTACCAGAACTACCCTCAGCAAGATGCGCTTCACGGGATCGCTCCTCGCCTTGGGAATTGCCCTCGTATCGGCTGTTCCTCTTCAGGACAGCCCCCGCCAGCGCCTTCTTGACGGCAAGCCTCTGCCCTCCAAGTACCGCACCCGGAGTGTCAGCGTCACGGACCCATACACCCCATCGTATCGTGATCCGTATGACACCGCCGTCGACTCTGTCGGTGAGGGTCTCGATCCTCTTCCCTTCCGGAACGGCAAGGGAGCTAGCGTCCTAGGACCATGGAACAAGGACCGCTCCCGTCAGAATCCTGACTTGGTCCGCCCACCCAGCACCGACCACGGCAACCTGCCCAGTCTGCGTTGGAGCTTTGCCGACTCCCATATACGCATCGAAGAAGGAGGCTGGACTCGCCAGACCACTGTCCGTGAGCTCCCCACCAGCGTTGAGTTGGCTGGCGTCAACATGCGCCTCGAGAAAGGCGTCATCCGCGAGTTGCATTGGCACAAGGAGGCCGAGTGGGCCTATGTCCTCGAGGGCAAGGTCCGCGTGACCGCTTTGGACTACGAGGGCGGCAACTTCATCGATGACCTGGAAAAGGGTGATCTCTGGTACTTCCCAAGCGGCATCCCCCACTCTCTCCAGGGCTTGGGCGACAACGGCACCGAGTTCCTGCTCATTTTCGATGACGGAAGCTTTTCCGAGGAGTCCACCTTCCTGGTCACGGACTGGCTTGCCCACACCCCCAAATCAGTTATCTCCAAGAACTTTCACCTGGCCCCAGAGGTCTTTGCCCACCTCCCCGAGAAGGAGAAGTACATCTTTCAGGGCTCGCAGCCGGGATCCATCGACCAGGAAAGACCTGAGGGCAGCAATGTCAAAAAGTCCAAGTACCAGTTCACCCACAAGATGCTCGCCCAGGACCCCAAGATCACCTCGGGTGGTCAAGTGCGCATCACCGACTCCAAAAACTTCCCTGTCTCCAAGACCGTGGCAGCGGCCCACGTCATCATCGAGCCCGGTGCGCTGCGCGAGATGCACTGGCATCCCAACGCCGACGAGTGGTCCTTCTTCATCAGCGGACGTGCCCGCGTGACCGTCTTTGCTGCCGAGGGTAACGCCCGCACGTTCAACTACCTGCCTGGAGACGTCGGGATTGTGCCCAGGAACATGGGACATTTTGTTGAAAATATTGGCGATGAGCCGTTGGTCATGCTCGAGATCTTTAGGGCTGATGAATTCCGTGATATTTCTCTGTTCCAGTGGCTGGGTGAGACCCCCCAGCGCCAGGTGGCTGATACGCTGTTCAGTGATGATGAGGAGGCGCGACAGAAGTTCTTGGATGCGATTAACAATCCCAAGAAGGATGAGGTCACCAAGGGTTCTGAGGCTCAGTAAGGTGAGTGAGTTTGTGAGGAGATGTTGGCGGGGCTGCATTTGTGGTTTCGCATTAGGTTTGAGCCCAGGTCAGTGAGTGGTCAGGACTGATCTGCAACCTACCTACGATTTGTTCTGACGTTATGACTTATGTATCCAGCTAAAATTTAGTCCAAAAAGTGTGTATCTCTACCAAACTTCTTCCTTTGTCGCTGTTGTCTCCCGTGAGAACTGGAACTTGGGCGATTGAAATCAAAGACAGAGATCTGCCTACTTCCCCGTCTTCAACGCTTTGAAGCTCTTTGTAATGTTCGTAATTGCCTCCTCAACCGGCAGCCTCTCCATAGAGCTCGCTCCATAAAACCCATGCACCCCCTCCGTCCTGCTCAGCACATACTCCGCATCCTCCGGCTTCGCAATCGGCCCACCATGGCACAACACAATCACCTCCGGGTTAATTTCCTTTGCCGTATTCCTGATCTCCTGAATCAGCTTCACACAATCATCCAGACTCTTGGTCCCGTGACTCTTCTCCCCTTTGCCAATCGACCCGCCCGTCGTCAGTCCCATATGCGCCACCAGGATATCCGCACCCGCGCTCGCCATCTTTTTTGCTTCTTCCACGTTGAAGACATAGGGCGTGGTGAGTAGGTCCATGGACCGCGCGAGCGCAATCATTTCCACCTCCAAATCGTAGCCCATGCCTGTCTCTTCGAGGGCGGCGCGGAATTCTCCGTCAATCAGCCCGACGGTGGGGAAGTTTTGGACCCCCGCGAAGCCGAGATCGCGCAGCTTGGCGAGGAAGCGCGGCATGGAGACGTAGGGGTCGGTGCCGCAGACGCCGGCGAGGACGGGCGTGTGTTTGACTACGGGGAGGACTTCTTTGGCCTGTGTGGGTAGGAAAGAAGAAGAAAATGGTTTGGTTTTTTGGTTAGCGACTGCACGATGATGCTCGTAGCCCATCCACCCATTTTGACATGAGTGACAAATTAGAGGTAGTGGAAACAGGTTATAATGAGAGGTACGTAGGTAGGTAAGGTACTGTACCATGTCGACAACAATGTCATTGGCGTTGCCATAAGGCATCAGTCCGGCGAGTGAGCCCCGGCCGGCCATGCGGAAGCGACCGGAGTTGTAGATGATGATGAGGTCACCGCCGCCGGCTTCGACAAATTTGGCAGAGAGACCGATGCCGGCGCCGGCGCCGACAATGGTCTTGCCTTGGGCGATTTGGCCGCGCAGCTTCTCTAGGATCTGAGTGCGGGTGAGTTGGGGGGCCATTTTTTTTTGATAAGATTTCTGACAGCCTTGAGTTTGGACGGATGAGGGCGGGGGAGTTGAACAAAACAAACTGCCGGATTCGAAAAGGGGAAGTGGAGTGTTGCGGAGGAGGGATTGTGTCTTTTACGTCATTGGTGTCACGATCGTTATCGTCCCGTTATCGTCGTCTTTTCGAGTGTAACGAAACACACGATTAAATGTGTTGATTCCATCTGAAGTGTAAACCTTTGGATCGTGGGTGGGACGGGTAAACAAGGTGATACAGATCTCTACAGCATCATCCCATGTGATTTGGATTTATCATCGGTAGGGGTGGTAGATTTAACCACCTCACCACCTCCGCATTTTACCCCTCTTCTCCCCAACTACACTACAGCGACCCGAACCCCAGTCCTCAAGCATCACATTACCAAGAGTCACAGCAACAACCATCACCACCAGCAAAAAAAAAGAAAAATGCCAACCATCGCCCTCCTCGGCACCTGCGACACCAAACTTCCCGAACTCCTCTACCTCCGCTCTCAAATCCTCCTCCACCCCTCCACCACCGTCCTCCTCATCGACGTCGGCCGCCACCCGGTCTCTCACCCTTCCATCACCTTTGGGCCCCCCGACCTGCTTTCCCACTATGCCAAAGAAGGAATGGACATGCAATCCCTCCAATCCCTTCCCCGAAACCAGCTAGTAGAACTCATGTCCCGGCTGTGCACATGCCATATCCAATCCCTCTTTTCTCGTCAAATAATCCACGGCATTGTGTCGTTGGGCGGATCCAACGCCACCTCCCTCGCGGCCCCCGTCATGAGAAATGCGCTACCGATCGGGTTTCCCAAGTTGATGGTGTCGACGGTGGCGAGCGGGGACACGGGTCCTTATGTGGGCGAGACGGATATCACCATGATGTATAGTGTTGTGGACGTGGCGGGGCTGAATGAGGTTTTGAGGGGCGTGTTGGGGAATGCGGCGGGGGCGGTGGTGGGCATGGCGAATGCGTACTATGAAAGGAGCACAAGGAGGATACGGGAAGGGGAGGACATAGAGGCAAAGAAAGAAAAGAAAAAGAAAAAGGCCAAAGTGGTAGGAATCACCATGTTCGGCGTTACTACTCCCTCCGTCGACGCCATCCGTCAGTATCTCGAATCCAAATACCCCGGCGTCATCGAAACGATGGTGTTCCATGCCACAGGCCACGGCGGGAAAGCAATGGAACGATTGGTGCGGGCCGGAGAGCTGGACGCGGTGATTGACCTGACCACAACCGAGTTGGCGGACGAGCTGGTGGGAGGGGTGATGAGTGCCGGGCCAGACCGGATGCGGGCGGCGGTTGGGAAGGGGATTCCGTACATTGTTTCGCTGGGGGCGCTGGATATGGTCAATTTCGGGCCGCCGGGGACGGTGCCGGAGAGGTTTCGTAGCAAGGATGCTAATGAAAGAAAGCTTTATGAGCATAACCCTACGGTTACGCTTCTGAGGACGTCGGTGGAGGAGTGCAGGGAGATTGGGATGCGGATGTGTGAGAGGCTCTTGGAGGGCGGAGATGCGAGCAAGATCCAGGTGTGGATTCCAAAGGGCGGGTTAAGCATGTTGTCTGTAGCGGGAGCGCCGTTTGAGGACAGAGATGCTGACGAGGCGCTTTTTGAGACTGTTCGCGAGGGTCTCAAGGGCAGTGGCATTCTAGTCAAGGATGACGAGAGGCATGTCAATGATAAGGGCTTTGCTCATGACGTTGCGGAGGCAATGGCAAAGCTCCTGGGGCTATCAAATGGCCAACAAATTTAAAGACCTCCCTAGGTAAGGGTCCGGGAGGTACAGAGAATTTCTTGGTTGGTTAACAACAACAGTATTACAAGACCACTAAGCTCTCTCTATGCCAAATCCATCCAAACTCTAGCACTATCGGACACACTTATCGCACACAAACAGGCCTGTCCTGAGAGAATTTCACACTCGGCCACATCCCTTCCGTTTGACCACCGCCATCTACGGCCTCAAAGTAGGCGAACTCGCCCTCTGGCCCTGACCCTGATCATGTCCCTGGTCCTGATCCTTATTCATCAAATGCGGCGGCGGCGGCGGCGACAACGAAGTCACAACCTGCGACGGGACCCTTACCTGGCCATCACCGCCCTCATACAAGTTAAACAACGACTCATTCCCCTCCGTCGAAACCGTCATCCTCGACCGATCCATATCCGTCCCCGCACTACTATCCGACCACACGCTCTGGAACTTCATAGCCTTCATATTTGCCGCCGCAGTCGGCAGCTTCTTGGGCATCGGACTCAGTGGCTTGGGGATCTCGTTAAAATACGTAGCGGGGATTTCCGGCAAGGGGGGAGCATCCGGGTCGTAAGAGGTGGGAGAAGGATAATCAGAAACCATGGAGTCACGTGCTCCCCCTCCTCCTCCTCCTCCTCCTCCTCCTTGTTGGGAGCTGCCGTAGGCTGATGAGGCGCGCCGGCTGCTAAAGGCCGAGAAGGTGCTACCTCTGATGGAAAGAGGGTTCAGCTTCAGGGGATGGTGTTTGCGCAGCCAGCTGGCGACGGACTTGCGAATTTCGGGCTGATGGGTAGGCGCGGGCTGGATGATGGTCACGGGGTAGGCTCCGTCGACTTGCTTCTCATCGGAGAGGACGTAGCCGTTGGGGATGCTGCTGTCTTGGCCATTTTGGTGGGCGTACGAAGCGGCGATCAGCTCGTCGAGGATCTGGGAGTTGCTGCGCGGGTCAAAGTTGGACGAGAGCTGGCCTGCGCCTGCGCCTGCAGCAGTGGCTGGGGGTGGCAGGCCACCGTTACCGGGACCGGACTTTCCACCCGAAAGAAAGGCGCGGATGGAAGACTCGGTGTCTGCTTCGGATTTGCGTGAACAGAAGCATTTGATGAGCCAAAAGAGGACGATTGCGAGCATGGACACGCCGGCTGTTGATGGGGAGGGTTAGTTTTCTTACATGCCCTGGTACCACAAAAGCAAGTCAGGATCAGCGAGCTTACCAGCAACTCCAATGGCGATGCCAGCCTTTGCACCCCCAGACATGTGCCCGCTACTGGTGCCCTTCTGTTGTGCTCCTTGTAGAGCAGCTCCGTTGTTAATAGCTGGGCTCGCCGTGGCTGAAATCAACACGCTAGACGTAGCGCTGGCGAAGACGGCGGTGGGTGTTGGTGTTGTTATGGCGATAGTGCTATTGAGAGACGTTGTGACGGTCGTGAATCCATCTGTGACGGAGGCTGAGTCCGTCTTCTCATGCTTCCCATCCCTATCCTTATCCCTATCCTTCGTCTTCCCCGGATCGTCATCCTTGTCTCTTGTCGTCGTGGGTAGAGGTCTGGCTGAATGTGTGATTGGCGTGAGTGTGGTTAGCGGCTGCGGTTGTGCGGATGCGGTGATGGTGCGGATGGTGAAAGTGGCAGGTGGCGGAAGAGGTTGAGTGAGGGTCGGGTGCTCTGCTGTCGTCTCGGGCTCCGTAGGCGTTGATCCTGCTACTGACGCCGACTCTGTTGACTGGGTATCATCAACTGGACCATCGACGAATTCGATTTCCTCTTCTGATCTTGTCGATAGGTTGTCGTTGTCACCAGCCTCCAGAGTCACTCCGTCGCCCAGTTTATACTCTTCGTCTTCATCGCCCAAGACCTGACTGCGAGCGTGTAGTAGAACGTCGTCCGCCCATCGTTTAATGCTACGTCTCGAATATCCTCCCATATCCAGAAATCCTGCGTCCGCTTCAACTAGGTATTTTCAACCACCGAGCCGTAGTTAGCTCCTTGAGCCAGCAAGAAGTCGAGTATATATGAAAGACAGGCCTGCTGTGACAAAAGAGTAGCAAATGTAAAAGTGTCCAGCACCAGGCTGGCTGTAAGAAGAAAAGAGAAAGAATGTAGGGAGAAAGTTGAATTTCAACCTTGCTTTATTGTTCACAGTGAATACACGGGTAATAGTACAAAAGAAGGAAAAGAGGGAGGGAATCCCGAGCTTTTCTTGACTCTGAACGGGGAGAGAGGGAGCGGGACACCCCACGGTTTTCTTTTTTTGGGCATTGGACACTCCCAAATCAAATCCAGACTGCAACCGAATGGAGTAGTCCATAATCCATCCATCGCATCTCATGGACCCGGAATCAGCCACACCACGACGACGAAAATCTTCGAGTTTCACATCTCGTGCCGTGTTCTGGTGAGAAGTGGGAGCAGTGGTGTTGTTCGCCCAGTGGTGACCCCTGGTGATGTGTCGAGTGTGTGGAGAATGATGGGCTGTCGACGTCTGGAGGCCAGCCCCTGGAACCCTGTCAGCCATCGCCTGAAACACCACGCAGCGGCGCTGTGAGGCCCTGGCTGCCCAGGGCGATCCAGTCAATGCAGGGGCTTGGCATGGACTCGGACGTTGACCACCACACGAAACCAGTAATCACCTATCTAGTGTAGAGGTAGTCCTTCGTGATGCAAGAATGCCTTAACTTCGCCGAATTTGGTTTGTAAAACTAAAGACGATATTAAAACTGAAATAGACGGTTTTCCGAAAGACAAGAAAAATAAAGCAACTTTCAACTTGGTCAAACCATCAGTGCTTGGACTTGGACGATTGTCGACTTGGTTGCACTAGAGGAAGACCGGCCATCCTTGTATTATATGTGAGGTAGAGGGTACCAGTTTCCATCGTGGAAGCCAGAAAACCCCATTTCAGGCTGTCAGCCTTCCCCGGGTTGATCTCTGTTTTATATGAATGATACATCTCTTTCTTTCGGGTTTCGGGATTGGGGGGACATGGAGAATATCGAATAGGTTGAAGGATGTCAGGAAAAGCTTGTTCCTACCCCAGGTGGGTTATCGAATGGATATAGCCAAGTACAGTAGCACTCGATGGCAATGCAACAACACTCGGAGGTTTGGCCCAAACACTGATGATTACGACGACTGGTGACGACAGAGGTGATATTGACGCGGTGGTGGTAGGCGATCTGTAGATAGTTCAACTGATGACGACGCTCATGGGTTTAGGACTGGTTCGATTGGGACAAACATTTTAACGGTCGAAACAGATCTAGAAGAAGAGGACGACAAAGCACGGGAAAGATTGTCTCGTCAAATTCCATCGATGCTTGTCTGGAAGAAGAATTGAGGTATAAGAGGAATGCCCCGCCTGCTCCAGTCTGGAATCAATACAGCCTTTAGTGGCTGACGTTCCCACACTCAATCGCCTGTGCAGTCTTGGCAAGAGGTGCGTGCGTGCATACACACACACACATACACCGCACTTCTGTATTGTACAACTTCGACAAAATTCATTATTTTATAATAATTTCTAAATTAATTTGAAGCTATTTCAACGTATAAAGTAATTAAAATACTAGTAATTAATCAAATCTATTGCGATAATACCTCTTAAGATAATATTTAATTTAAAACCCGCTAGTGTAAAACGTTCCCGTATTTGAAGCGGCGCGCTAGTAGTCTACTTCAATGAAGATTAAGATAAGGAAAATCCTAGCCTAATAACTCTATAATATACTTCCTCCTGCCCTAAAAAGAAGAATTGTAAAGCCGAACAATCTATTAAAGCTATCCTTAAAACTACTCCTAAAAAGAAAGTTACTCCTATTAAAATTATTCTTAAAAAGGCCGCCGTTAAAAAGAAAGGGAAGGCCCCCGCCGCTAAAGACCCGATGCTAAAGCTAGATGATACCGGACAGTCGTATCATTGTATATAGATTAGATAAGGCTATAGTGTGGCCAGTCACGTGTGATTGGCCCGCCCGGCCAGACGTGCATGCAGGCTGCCGCTAGGGACCTACGCTATTGGGCGCTTGGGTCCGGCAGGCAGGTCGCAGACCTAATTAAATAATTAGGTCTACGATAAGATAAGAAAGCCTTATAAGGCGCGCCCTCTAGGCAAGCCGTTAACTTTTAATTCTTCCTTCTACATTATCTTTTACAACGCTTTCAAATATTATTATACTATTATTTGCAAAGCACTCCAGTTACCTGTATTAAATAGTAGTTATAATTAAAAATTAATTAACTAGACCAAACCCCTTTTGATTAAAGCCTTTAACTAAGTGAATTAATTAATTCCTAAACTTCGAGTTTCTAATCGCAAAGACCCTATATCGTACAATACCGACCCTGCGATCGCAATTAATAATAATAAACAATCCTTCACCTTTACGTCTCTAAATCCCTTCTATCCTTCTTTTATACTTTCCCCTGTACTTCCCCGTTATACTATACTAATTTACTTATATTAGCTCGTATTAATTAGAGTATTATATTGTACTACTCCGATCCGAATACTTATGGGCCTCGATACGAAGGGTAACCCTATCTACCAATTATTCAATTCTCAAATACCCCCTAAATTCCTATTTATAATCCTACTAAATACCTTATTTACTTTTAATACTATTATTTATTGGCAATTGTAATTAAGTATACTATAAATTAGGAAGTTAACTTTAATACTATAGCCGATTATAGTCTAGCTGACAATCCGCTTAGTAATTCACCTACGCGTAATAATTTGCTTTGATAAGAAAATTGTTTTACTAAAAATTGCTTTACTGATAATTTTAATAGCTTAATTAATTATAATAGTACTATTATTGGGTAGAAAAATTACCCTTCAACCCGTAGTAGACTACCCTTTACCTAGTTAATTTAATTACCTCCTAATTTAGTAGTGTAATTTAATAAAATTAAATAATTAAATTCGACCGATTCTAAGTAGATAAACTCGACTAATTCCAAGTAAATAAATTCGACCAATTCTAAATAATTAAATTCGACCAACCCTGAGTACAATTCCTATAAATTATTTTAGTAATTAATAAAATTACTATTACCTCTACTGTCTTTACTACTACTTAAGCCTCTATCCTTACTGCTAAAGCTATAATTACTCCCCGTAACGTTGCTAACTAAAATAATCCCCGCGGGATTTCTAATTAAAATAATTTTTATTATATTAAATAATCTACTAATTATAATTAACGGATTATTAATAAAACCGGCCTTTATCCTTATAACTCCTAATAAACCTATTAAACTAGTAGTTGAAGCCCTTAAGAAGGAGCCTACTTCCCCTTCGAAAATTAAAAATATTACGAATTTTACGACGAGTATATTTAAAGGTAGTAAGGAAGCTATACCCTCTGAAATTAACCTTAATAATAAAAATAATATATTGTATTTTAAATATTACCCTACTAAAGACCGCCCTTTAATGTACTATAATTATAATTCTATAATTATAGGATGTAATAATCTCTATAATTATACTAAAGAGAACGCGGAAGTAACCGACGAATTGGAATACGAAACGGAGGAATTTATATCTAATTTAGAGCGTCCTAATACCCCTAAACGTCTTAAAATGGACGTTAGAACTATACAATTTCTAATCGATAAAACGGTATTTATTAATAACTAACAAAGCCGCAACTTTACCGCCCTATTAAATTAAATTATTATAGTAAACTATAATATTAAAGGATTAATTAACTTTGTAAATAATTATTTCGAAACTATTTAACTAATTAATAATAATATTTAAATAAAAATTAATACTATCGATAGTAAAATTACTATAATAAGTACTAAAGTAATATAAATTAATATTAACTTCAATTCGTTAAGTAGTAAAATTATTTCGATATAGGTAGATCTCGCTATATTTAGAACTATAATAAAATAATCTAACGAATTAAATAAGTGTATTAAAGATTAACTTTTATTAATTATTAAAATACTTAGTAATAGAACCCCCCTTACCCCCCTCTCTAGCGTATATTTAAAATTTATTACAGACGAAGAATTACGTCTTCTAAAGATAAAATTAATTTAAAAGATTTTAAAGCGGATAGTTACCTAATATTATACCCCTACTAATAAACCTCCTTCTAATAGTCCTATATTTCGTTTTATTAAACTACCCCTTAGCCTAATATTTACTAAAGACTAATATAAGCGTATAATATCCAAAAATCCCCTAATTAATAATATTAGTAGTACCGGTTTTAAACCCGCCGTCCTTATTTATAACTTCGGCTCGCTTAAAGCTATACCCTTAAAACCTATAGTTAAAACCAAAATTAAAACCCTAAAACTTCCGCCCGCTCTACTTATAATTTATACTATACTATTTTAATATATCCTTATTTAATTATAAAGATTGAAATTTACTCTAACCTTATTGAAACTCTACCGGTCTACGGTACCTACTCCTAATATTTATAGAATATTTATATTAATCCGTACAGCCGATATAATACTTAAAAAATTGAAGAAAAACTTTAAATAAGTAATTAAAAATATAAAAGCTATAAAAAAGAATATTAACGCCTAAATAGCCACATTACAAACTATACTTACAACTAATTCGAATACAAACCTTAATTATAAGAACGGCGCTCCTAATAAACCTATAAAAGTAATTACCGTAGGAACCCTAAGTAGTAACAATCCTAATAATAATAGTAATACTTATTACTTAATATCTCCTAAAGGTTTCCTACTTAATAGAGGAAGCTTCCCGCTTAGAGGAGGAGGCTTCCTACTTAAAGGAGGAGGCTTCCCGCTTAGAGGAGGAAGCTTCCCGCCTAAAGGAAGAGGTAGTAATTTTCCCCTTAATA